ATTCCCACTCCGCGGTCCCTGTAATCTGATATGTCATTATGCAAATGACATAGGTCAGCTGATTCATCTTGCACAAGAGGCGGTTGACCGAAGGTACGTAAACTGCAAATATTCACGAAAATGACATACTTAACTAGTGTTCTTATAGTCATCACTATAACCAATGGCTGTATGATATCATAATAGTATCGCTAATACTCGGTTCGAATTAATATAGAGTAGGGGAGAAGTTCTGAATGAAGAGCAATTTGCAGTTTGTATACGTATTTTATGTTTTTCTTGGATTAATCTATTTTGGATATTATTGACATTTTATACTTGGCTTGCATGAATCCCATTTGTGCGTGGAACTAATTTAGTTAAACATTTGATTTATGGCCCCATTTGTAAGGCAGCCTACGGGACTGCATAGCGGGTCGACCACACCGTCAGAACGAAGCTTGTGATTGTTCGAGACAACAAAAACAAAGAACGGAAAAAAGACGGGAAAATACAACTGGTTTTAGGGGCTTCTTGTGCTTTCTTTTGTGTTTTGGTAACGTCTTTACGCAAGAGAATCTACTGTCAAATCTGTCAAATAATGTAATTGAAGCCAGAACAAATTCTTCGTTTGCACGTTACGTCATAGATCCAAAAAAATTAATTTAAACCTAATTTCCCATGAAATCGATTTTACTCTAAAATATAGTTTAGAAAACTATGTTTCGAGATAATTTTTGAACTTATATGCGAATAATTTGATGCACAACGTGTTTTATTTGGTTGCCAAAGTCATGTCACGCGCCAGGTCACGCGCATGAAAAGCCGTGGAAATCATCTAAAATTCTTCTAAATCGTAGTTTTTTGTTTTAATAAAGATTTAGAATTGCTAAATGTAATGAAAATAAGGTATATTTGCTACTTTGTACCCGAAATTATGTTCATAACAGTTAGCCGCCATTTCTGGTGGACTTCAGAGATCCACCAGTACGGTGTCGCCATACATTTCTTTGTAAAGATCGGCATATAAAATTGCTTATAAACTTGCAACAAAAGCTCGGTTCGACTCAAAATTTCACAGAATTACAGAATTTTAATACGTCTATTATGTGAAAGTACCGAAATTTTATCTTTGATTTTAAAACTCTCTAAAAATGTTGGTGCCGTGGAAGCGTATAAACATGATCTCGCCATACATTTCCTTGTAAAAAATTAGCGTATAAAATTGCTTATATCTTGGCAAATAAAACTCTTTTCGGCGAAAAAATTCTCAGGGATACAGAGTTTTACTCGCTCTTTCACATGGATTACTTGAATTTTGTTTATGACTAATTGTACGGAAAATTTATTTTTCCATGACGTACGTGCAAACGAAGTCTCAGCTGGTGAGCGCAGGGTAGTAACGAGGTATACTTTTTTCAGTGATCAAGAGTCTGATCCAATCCCTATATATTTTGTTCCCCTGATTCCCTAATTAAATCAAGATTCCAATGATCAAACTCTTCAATATCCCTAAGACTGCTAAGATAAAAAATTGACGAAAATGTGAAGGTTTATCCTTACTCCCACACAACTGAAAGAAAGAATAGCACCAACGCATAAAAGGAAAATCCAGCCTTTTATTGGGAAACACTAAGTATTTACAAACACTACTTCTGTTCCATTTTTAGATCCCACCTCTTTTCATCAACATGAGTTATGTCCACAAACCCCACACTAAACCTCTCGAACACCGTACACCATTCCAGCTACTCGACGCTCACGCCAACGCCCATCCTAAAAAGGAAGCCTTCGTGTTCCGCGATGAAACTAAGAACAGAACATCGTTAACATTCCAAGAGTATGAATCTAATTCCAGACTTCTCGCTGCTGCATTACTTGAGATAGGACTGGTACGTGGTGATAGAGTGCTGTTAATGTTGCCATCGTGTATTGAGTTTGTAATAGTGCACATGGCATTAAACAGAATTGGCGCCAATGTTTTAATAGTTGAAGAAGATGCTTATCCCGCTGTCCTTGGTGTTGTAGACCTGGCCTGTGTGATTGCACGCAATGAGATTGAATGTCCATCTGCTAACCATGATCAAGTTCTAGAAAATATCCAAAAAATTGCTTCAGAAAGTCTAAAAGCAGTTTTAATTGTAAGTCCAAGCGCTGGTCCACTCCAAGATTTCGAGAATGTGTTCATCTACAAAGAGCTTTTTCAAATGGCCGAGGCAATGGTTAATTGGAACGAGGCTGTCAGACGCGCAGAAGCAGCCGTTCAGATGGACGACCCATCATTTGTGGTGTTTACGTCTGGTTCTACGTCTATTCCTAAACCCATTCAGTACACAAACCATGGTTTTGTGAATGGTGTGCTCGCAGACGCTTCGCTGATGCTGATGGATGAAAACTCCATCTATTTCTCTGATGCGCCTTTTGACTGGGTTTCAGGTTTGTGTTTTAGTATTGGAGTTGTCATAACGATGGGATCAACCCTCGTAGTATTTCCTCCCAAACTAACCTTTGAAGGGCGACTTGTGCCAACTGTTATGAAGATAATCGAAGAAGAAGAATGCACGCATGCAATGATCTTGGCCTACTTCTTCCATGATATTACAATGTGCAACGAGATTCTGGACATGAACCTGAGTAAGTTGAAAGTTGCTATTACCGGAGGACAAGCTGCTACGTTATCTTTAATGAGGACAGTTTTCGACAGGATCCCTCATCTCATCATTAATAACATCTATGGAGGTACAGAGATGAATATGATCGCTAATAAGCTCATTACAAGAGAAAATCTCGATACAATGGACCCTGGACTGATGGAAATTGTTGAGGGTTGCGAAGTGAAGATCGTTGAGGAAAATAGAAATCTTGCACCTTTAATGACAAAAGGTATTGTTTTATACAGGATTTTATACAATAACATTAAAGCTTACTTTAACATAAACCTTATTCTTGTGTTTACAGGTGAACTCTGTGTGCGCGCATCTTGGGTGTCGTTTCCCATGTGGGATTTATTATTGTCACCTGAAGGGAAACCTACCAACACCCAAACCGATGCTGCTAAGAACGGATGGCACTACACTAACGATGGCGCTTCTTTAGATGAGAATGGAAAGTTGAGACTTCAAGGCAGGATGGATGATATGATTAAATGTGCGACTGAATCGATTCCACCTTACGAGATTGAAAGCCTTCTACTTGATCACCCTTGCGTCCATAAAGTTTGTGTTGTTGGCATCCCTGATGAGCGGTTGTACGAAAAAATGTGCGCATGCGTGATCTTGAAAGATGGTAGCGACGAAAACGACCATCTTACTATGAAGGACGAACTCGACAAATATTGCAGTGAGAACTGTTGGCTTTCCACCGTAGGTTTGTTCTGGAAACCACACTACTATATCTTTGTGAAGGAATTTCCAATGACAAGGACTGGCAAGTTGAGTCGAAAGCTTACTAAAGAAATGGCCATCAAGAATTTTGAACTGTAGTGAACTACGGAGAAAACCCGATTAGAGTTTTTACTACCTTGATGAATTTAAATACAAAAGAACATATTAAGTAAATCTTCATGTAAATGATTTTTTTATTTGCTTTTACATCAATTTCATGATAAAATATAATTTGTGTAAGTATAATATTAGACCAAGATAGAAAGGAAATACGAAAATAAAAGAACACGACAGTACTTGGACTCGAACCCCCATTACGAAAATATCGAAAAAGATTGGAACGATATTCCCCCAAGACATTCTTGAAGCAGAGGAGTCAAACTGATTTACATTACCTCAAAAATTGTAAATTTTACCATAAAATAACGATACAGACAAAAAAAGGTGAGATTTGGAGTCAAATTATTCAAAGACGAGAAAGACACTATAGGAAATGACGTCATCACAATTATGACGTCACAACTGTTAACATGAATACAAATCGAACCACAACATCACAGAAGAGCAGTAAACGCCTAAATATGATATTTAACTGGTTATCTAGATATATATAATTGATAAAAATTACCTGATATCTATGACGTCATTATGACGTCATATAGAACAGGGGTCAATTAAAAAATACAAAAATATTATTTTCAAGTCATTTCAATAATAAGCAGATGATATTGCAGCATTCTCTATAGAATTGTAGGCAATTTATTAAAATGAATTATAAATCGTTAAAATGATGTAAATGACGTCATTATGACGTCACATTTGGTTCCCACGGGTCAAGACTGAGTGTGGTGGTTCGGTTTACGTGGGCAAGCATTGTGTGAAAGTTTCATGCTCATAGATCTATTGGTTCCGAAGATATTGAGGGGGGCCGATTGAGCCCCCTCCCCCCCCAGTCACACATTGAAAAAAAAACCCAGTCTGAATAGGGTTAAAGTATTTATTTTCTTGGCCTGAGAGGTCAATTTGAATTAAAGCGTATAAGATATCATGACATCACTTAGCGACATTTAGTCTACCACATTTGATTTTATCAGTCAAAGCAAGTGTTAATTACATGACCTTTTAGTTCAAATTCAAGTCTCAAGAAATTTGCATATTTTGAACTAGACTCTCTCTTTAACAATTAGACCTCGAGGTCGAGTGGACTACAAACTAATAGCCCATGAGTCCAAGAGGTCTAATTGTTTTAGTATAAACATACTAATCGGTCAAATAATGAAAACAAATTGAAATATTCTTAAAATAATTTATAATCTATAATTTATTTATTTTGGTTTTCCCGTGAGTGGTCTTACTATCACAAATTAGACCATTAGTAGAGTAGCCAATCACAGCGCAGTATGAGTGATAGACCATTATAAACATACTAATGGTCTATCACTCATACTGCGCTGTGATTGGCTACTCTACTAATGGTCTAATTTGTGATAGACCACTCGCGGGAAAACCAAAATAAATAAATTATAGATTATAAATTATTTTAAGGATATTTCAATTTGTTTTCATTATTTGACCGATTAGTATGTTTATACTAAAACAATTAGACCTCTCGGCCTCGTGGACTACGAGCTAATAGCCCATTCGGCCTCGCGGACTCGGCCTCATGGGCTATTAGCTAGTAGTCCACTCGACATCGAAGTCTAATTGTTAATTAGACCGTGAGTTCGGCTATTTTGGAAAAAAAGATTTCTGGCTCGATATTTCTATCGTTTTGAAGTCGTTGCAGAGAGCAGTCAAAAGAATATCGTATCGTGTGAATAAACGGTTTTGAACAGTACATTCTTACTTTCACCATGTATAAGAAGTAAAAAATATATATTCTACGCCATAATTTACATTCATATATAATCATATGATTAGACAGAATATAACATCATAATCTTATCCTGTTTAAAACCTTTCACTCTTTCTCCTATACGCGCGCCCATGTAATATCCTGTCTTTCTCAATTTTAAAAAATAGCTAGCCCGACTTCACGCTCCAAGAGCGTCTAGTTAGGTTGGTCCAGTGCTTGAGCCACTGTTCTTCAATTCAGTTGATATCATATTCTCATCAGTATTTTTTTCAAGTTGTTTGAATATTATTAATATCATTACACAATACTATCTACAATAAACTTCTATTTTTTTAGTTTTCTTTCTATCTTTTCTTTCTCTCTATGTATATTTTTCTCAGTAATCGGATGTCAGGCCTTGATGTCAGGTATCATGTTGTGCATTTGCGGAGTTCCTGTGTTCATAAGAAAAGAGATTTCCTGGGTACCAACTAGTGAATGAACTTTGAACGTTCAGCTAAAAACAAATGTTGTAAATCACGTTATAATTTTTTGCCTCGAATCTGAATCAACAAGAATGTGGAGAACAAGATTGTGTACTTTTAAGAATGGAATAAGCAATGGTAAGGTTGAATACCGTAGTTTTATGCCTGTTGTTTAGTCAAATTGGGTGCCACGTTATGCAATTCCATCAATGACAATTGTGTAAAGTTTTAAACTTACGCATACGTTTGATTTCACAGCGATTCCCAGTTTGCGGGCGCTATCCTCTTCAACAGAACATTTCCCTAAAATTACAACACATTACACTATACATCCCAGAGAGACAGATCCTAGATGGAAAGGTAAGCTTTTCTGACAAGGTAGCAAAACAAACTTTATTGCCTGAGCTTTGTGTAAGCTTTCAGTTGTGTTTTGGACCGGTAAAACACGACAACATTTGAAGTCAATTACCAGAGAATTTATTCAAGATGTTTTCTTTTATAGATGTAGAGATGGAGAGGTTTTCAGATGAATCTGATGTAGTAATAGTTGGCGGTGGGCCCGCTGGGCTTTCCGCTGCTATACGACTCAAACAGTTGGCCAACGAAAGTGGCAAAGAGATTAAAGTTTGCTTAGTGGAAAAGGCTTCAGAAATAGGTAACATATCTTGAATACAATTGATATTTACATCGATAAATAAATGTATTTCCTGTTTTCAAACTCCGATAAAGACTGGCACTAGCCCATTGATTGGCATGACAGATGTCTCTTGCCTCCTCTTGCCAATGACTGCACATTTTATATCCAAATGTATTCAGGGTTTTGTAGCTATGTGTGTGTTTTATTCTTGTTTCTATGACATAAATGGTAGGCAAGGTTCTGTGACTGTATTGTGTCAGAGTTGCTATACTTGCCATTGCATTGAGATCTTCTGTGCATGGAGAATGTCAATAAGTCATCAGATAAGATCTGTTGTTTTCACACATAGGTGGACATACACTATCAGGAGCCTGTTTGGAACCACATGCACTTAATGAACTTATACCAGACTGGAAAGAGAGAGGGGTAATTTTATATATTGAAAATAACAATTATTACAATTTGAAGTGTTTACTACTAACTCTGGTTTAACTACCTACTGCTTAATTAATAATGCTACTATTCAACTCTATCAATAAAGAAATATTAAATGAACAGGGTTTAAACCCTTTCTCAAGTACATGATAAAATTGCGATCTGTAAATTATGTAAGCCATCATGTAAGCCCTGGTTTTACAGGAAAACTTACCATGAAGTTTGCTTGTCAAACAGTTCCGCAGGTTTGATCAAGACCTAGAAAATCATTCAAATCTACCAATAGTTACTATTTATTCTTATAATAATGCCAATTTCTATGTTATATAAATGTTTTTAGGCTCCTCTACATACACCTGTAACAAAGGATAAGTTTTTAGTATTAACAGAAAAACACAGCATTCCTATTCCAATATTTAAAGGTGAGAAACTTAATGGTTTCATGCATCTGAAGGAAGTGCTTGACAGTGTAGAATGTTGTTTGTTTTATTGTAGGTCTTCCTATGTACAATCATGGTAACTACATTGTTAGACTTGGTAACTTTGTGAGATGGCTGGGTGAGCAAGCTGAAGAGCTTGGTGTTGAGATATACCCTGGATATGCAGCTAGTGAAGTAAGCTACCAGAATTATCAAAATAAAATAGTCAAGAAATCTACTATTTACCAGTCATTTCACTTGTACAATGTATACTAAACAAGCCACAGTCAGTCATCTGAATGCATTTGTATATATTGTTACATGTAGCTTTGGCTCATGATCAGTTTTAAATTTGTCTTGTGTACTAGGTACTTATAGAAGAACACTGCTGATAAAACATTCCAGACTTTTAATTATTCAAATAGTTCAAGTACTGATTTATCTGCAGTACAATGTATTAAGCATAACATTGTCACATTGTGGAGTCAAGGTGTGTGTTGAAAACACCAAATCTCACTTAGAGATACAAAGCAACACAGGGATCCCAATCACTCACCAGTAAACCTACTCTGTTTCAAGAACGTCTCTGGAAATCATGAGTTCTGGTTCAGATCTTACTGTGTACAATTCCATAAAACATCACAGGCAACCTAATGATATGAAGTAATTTTTATAGAAAATACCACAGGGCTCCCAATCATAACACAGGAAGCCATGTATTGATGTGTTGTCACTCTATCAGGTACTATACCATGATGATGGAAGTGTTAAAGGTATTGCTACTAATGATGTTGGTATTCACAAAGATGGTTCACCAAAGGTAATTATGACTTAACATGATAAATCAAGGCACCATATCCATATTCATCAAATCCATGAAATATAGTGATGTGCCTCCCTATAATCCAAGAAGAAAAATAAATACAAATATTTCAATATAAACTATTTTACCCTTCTCTTTTTAGGATACCTTTGAACGTGGTATGGAACTACATGCTAAGGTGACTCTGTTTGCTGAGGGTTGCCATGGCCACCTTGCCAAGGGTCTCTATAAGAAATTTAACTTGCGAGAGAACTGTGATCCACAGACTTATGCTATTGGCTTAAAAGAGGTGAATTACACATATCAATGTATTTAATATAACATGTCAAGAAAAAAAGAGTGAATTTTGTGCAGCTGTGTTATGGATGTGAGGTTTCTTTTCCTATCAAAATGAAGGGTTTTTGCTCAAAATGTTTTGTTCAAACATCTCTCCTGTGATGCATTAATTAAAATATTCAGAGCTTGTAAGGTTGTTAAGACTAGTGCATGTAGATATATTGATAAACATTTTTAACAGGTCACTGTACTGTAATATCGCTTTATCTTGACAGTTATGGGAAATTGATCCTGACAAGCATCAGCCTGGTCTTGTAGAACATACAGTAGGGTGGCCATTGGTATGTACCTGTATTTGTAGAGCAATTTTCTTTAGTAACTTGTGTCACAAAGAGAATTCTTATAAATACTGTACAAATCCTGTTTTTACACCCTAAACAGCCAATCAATACTTGAAAATTCTCACAGATATTAAAAAAACATTTTTTTTTGAAGTTGCAGCTAGGATGTTGCATGATAAAGAAATTGAGTAAAAAAACAATTGCATGACAACTCCTTGAAACATTCTTCCTGCTTTAGAAATTTGATTTTACTGTAATGTTTTCAAGGATTACAAGAGCTATGGAGGATCATTTATCTACCATCTTGATAGAGAAAAAGAAGGAGCACCTCTCATCTCAGTTGGATTTGTTCTTGGTCTTGATTACTCAAATCCATACATTAGTCCATTCAAGGAGTTTCAGGTATGCTGTGAATCTAGTGTGATTTGACACAGTAGTTACATTAGTCCATTCAAGGAGTTTCAGGTATGCTGTGAATCTAGTGTGATTTGACACAGTAGTTTCATTAATTCCTCATTGCAGTTTATAAAAATAAGAACCATTTTAAAGGAATTTTAAAAGTTAAAAGTTTTCATATCATGAAAAATAAAGTAGGATAACAACTTATAAAATTTGTATATTTGTTTTGATCCACAACAATACAACAGATAAGAAAGTTTTAATAGTATTGATATAACTTAACAGCGATACAAGACTCACCCAGCTGTACGACCTACTTTTGAAGGTGGTCGTAGGATAGCGTATGGTGCTAGAGCTTTGAATGAAGGAGGTTACCAGGTAAATACAAGGACAAACCTTTCCAAAATTGTTGTTTTATTAATCTAGCAGTATATTACTGTTTTGATAGTGTGTTCCCAAGCTAGCATTCCCTGGTGGTGCTTTGATTGGCTGTAGCCCTGGTTTTATGAATGTCCCAAAGATTAAAGGAACTCACAATGCTATGAAGAGTGCTATGGTTGCCGCTGAGAGTGTCTTTGAATATTTGGCAGATGAAAATAAACAGTCTGATACCAAAGGTAAACGGATGACATTTTGCTATGGATTATGCTATCTTTTTGTAGTAGAGCAGAGTCACATGAACCATGAAATAAGAACTAAAAAGTACTAACTAATAGGSACTATTWGTTCYTAATAGTCGTTAGCACTGAACCAGAACAGTTTATTTGATCCAATAAGCAATACCCAAGGGACCACTTTAACAATCAAAGTAATCTCTTTGTACTGTTCTGGTTCAGTGATAGTGTCTAAATAGTGCCTATTAGTAACTAAGTATTTAGTTTCTATTTCATGGTTCAAGTGACTCTGCTCTATTGATATCATTTATCTTTCTATGAATTGGKCCTTCATTTGTCTATAATAATAATATTAGTTACAATTTATATAATCATGGTATTTGATTGAAGATACTTTTATTTTTCAGGTCTTTATGTAGAATCTTATGAACCAAATTTAAAGGAAAGCTGGGTTTGGAAGGAACTGAAGAGTGTACGTAATGTCCGTCCATCCTTTCATTCACCGTTGGGTCTCTATGGTACTCTTGCCTACTCTGCATTATTTTATGTCCTTCTACGAGGGAAAGAGCCATGGACATTCCGCACTCCTAAGCCTGATGCAGCTTGTCTAACACCAGCTAAGGACAACAAGCCTATTGAGTATCCTAAACCTGATGGAGAAGTGTCGTTTGACTTACTGTCGTCAGTTGCTCTTACTGGTACAAACCATGAAGGAGACCAACCGCCACATCTTACCCTCAAGGATGATACAATACCAGTTAAACAGAATCTAGGGATATATGATGGTCCTGAACAGAGATTCTGTCCTGCAGGTGTTTACGAGTATGTTTCATTAGAAAACCAAGAGGGCATGAGACTACAAATCAACGCACAGAACTGTATTCATTGCAAGACATGTGATATCAAAGACCCCAGCCAGAATATTAATTGGGTAGTTCCTGAGGGAGGAGAGGGTCCGGCATATAATGGCATGTGATCATTCTTCAAGTGTTTCAGAGTAAAGTTTAAAATGTTCTCACTGCTAATGTAATTTGTATATTTTTATGCACATGTTGTTGTGAATCATGTTATGTAGTAATAGTCAGAGAGATATTTAGAGTCAGTGTGCACATACACTTACTGGTATAATGCTATCTCTGGTTCTTAAACCATGTTATCCTGTGAGTGAGGTGTATCGCAATAGTGTTCAACAGATTAAAATGCAAAGACAATATTACATTTTCTCAAGCAAAGCATGATGTCAAACATTGTCCTTAACCTTTTGTAAAATATACTCCACAAAATCTGTTTTGTTTCCTAGTTTTTGTAAAGAAAATTTGGGGTATAATTCAATAAAAGGACTAAATCTCCCATGCTTAGAAAAATGGTGTCACTGAACATTGCTCTTTGAGTTGAACAAGATTTCAAGCTATAAATCATGTCAATACTTTACTCCACCAAAGTAGATGAAATTAGCTTAGAACAGTGATTGGCCTTCACGTAATGAAACAGAAAGAGGAAAAGAGAACAAAGGAAATAAGGAAACATAAAGTGAAAAAATGCATAAAAATTTGCAGTTACATTGAGAATTATTTTTGGAATCCATTGAAGAATTCCTTTATTAAAATCTCAAATATTGTAACTATATTTAATAGGAACATGAAGGGGAAACTAGCATTATGTTGTTCCTTTTGATATTATTGTACCTTATTTCAAAGAACAAATAAAATGTACATAAATCTAAACTGTTATTTTCACATATCTAATGCGCTTAGTTGTGAGTCAGCATCAGTTAATATATTATTCAGCTCTACCATTTTGTATTCAATAGCTATTTTAATATATTATTCAGCTCTACCATTTTGTATTCAATAGCTATTTTAGAAAAGGTTATCTCAGAGGACCTATTGTCCTCACAATAAATTAATACTACAAAGTGTTTCACAGACATAATGAATGCGCTATAACATTTTATTGTCAAAATTTTTACATTTATTTAGTACAAAATACTGTTGATACTTTATATTTACAATCATAATTATATATAATCCTCATTTTGCTTGACAACTGAGGTGTGGAGAGGTGCACCCTTTTCGCATTCATTCACCAACTATAGTCAGTATATTGAACTATAGCTTATCGGTAAACTGGATGACCGGCAGATTGTTTTTATGTTAATCATCATTTACATTGTTAATATAACAAGCAATTTAAAATGTTAAAATCGAGTTAACCATCACTTGTTCTTAGCCAGTCGTTTTGTCCAATCATAAGGTTTCCACCAATCAGCAAATTGCAACACTTTCTTCTTGTGTTGTTCAAAGTTTTCTCTGTGTGGTTTGTGCCACACCCAGGGCTCGAGATCCAGCATACCACCAATGATTTCCTGAAAAAAAAACATTTATAATTTACTAGGCAATAAAAAATAATCAGAGACATAATATAATATACCTTTCCAAAGTAATGTGGAAAGAGATGTTCTTCCTCTATTACATGTGCAAATCCACCATCTAAGCCAAACTCAACACTGAAGTATGGCAGTCCTTTAGGTATGGATCCTAGAAGTCCTTTCTTGCTTGTATCAACTAGTTTTTTGTTATGCGCCCACTCTGAGTCAGACTCTAAAATTGCTTTCTAGAAAAGAAGATATTAGATATTAGATATTAGATTATTATATAATAGAGTTAACACAGGGAATTGAATAATGGTTGCTTAATTTTATCACTGCATCTCAATGAATAGCAGCTTGACTTCAATGTTGGCCCTGGGTACTCTAACACATAGGATCCAACTTAAAAGGCCATATTCTTTGGCATACACTGTTATACTTATTACCTTGAAATACATGGGTGCTAGATCTCCTTCTTCCTTGGGGACTGGTACACATTCAACAATCATGTGGTCTTGCTTGCTAAGATTTCTACATGTCTCCAGAAATATAACATCTTTATTCTAGCGTAGAAACATACTATTAGAATATTTTAATTGTTAATAATATACATGCTTGCATATCAATTTCTATGGAACCAAAAAACATTAGCATTTTAAGTTAATGTTCTCTAAACATTCTTAAATTTAAACACTGTTTGCAAATTATTGTCATCATTATTTAATTAATATTTACCATTTCCTGGAACATCCGTGTGAGTCCTTTTTTGAAGACCTGAAAATCATAACAAATATGTGAAATAATTTACACAAGCTAATGCCTGGACAATGTATATTATCTGGTTGCTTTGAAAAACTAGGAGTTTAAGATGACTATTACATTTCTCTGTTAACAAAATCCCAGGAACAAAAAATTGGGATTTGAAAAAAAATTACTTGCTAGTACCTTAATTTCATCTATGATATCCTCGTCCAGATATGTGTAGGCTACTTGGTGTTGCATGGGTATAATGAGACAATGGCCTTCTGTCAGTGATGTATGTAATGGTACTGCAAGGTAAACCTATTGAACATTCCAAAGACAAAGAGAAAACTGATCATGCTGCTGAAGGATAACTTTACTTGTCTATTCCAAACACATAAAACAAAGAAAATGCAATACTAAAATTGAAAGCAATACAACATTTATACCTGTATTCCTATTGCAATAATAAGATGTTTTGCTAAATCAGGATTTTCAAAGCAGAAACGACACTTTGATAGCTGTGCAGAAAGTCGCTGATGTTCTAAAACAACCACAAAATACATAAAAGTTATACCAAATTATGAGCTGCAACAGATGCTTCATTTTTCCATGCACTGCTACCTTTTATTGCTCTCATCTTGTCTCGTTCCTCTTCTTGTGCTTTAGAGTACTTTTTAGATGCGCCTGATACAAAGTGATCATCAAGGGTGAAGTCATCAGAGTCTGTTTTACTAGCTCCCTGTAAAAAGGACATGCATTCACCAATAAATAAAAACTATACAGGAATAAACTGAGATCCTCAACACATGTTAAGTAATGCTGAAGTACGTTGTGATAATTTCAATGTTTGAAATAGCAGTGCTAAAAAGGGTGCAAATCACTTTAGAGACACTTTACAAGAATGTAGAAGAATTTGGACATTCTGTTGCAAGGATGTTATGGACTATTGATTGTAATCAATAGTTGAACAAAATCCACAGTGAAAGTTGCAATATATTGCATCAGTTAAATGAATACCTTTGATGCCAGTCTGGAGAACATGGCATTATAGTCCTCTGCAGTGTTCATTTTTTCTCGTCGTACAATTTCATTGAGATCATATCGATCATCATCTGCAAAGTACCTCTCTCGCTGTCCTGTTTCACTGTGTGTTGAAACCTAAGAGAATAGATACATATTATATACATTATATTATGAACAAACATAAAGTTAAAAGAACCAGACCACCCAGCCAACGAAGACATTCAAGTTCTAGTAAACTTAATTTGATGTGGCTGCATTGTGTAATTACAATGAATTTTAATTCAAAACTTTTCCCATAATTACCACTAGGTAATTTGTACTGTAATGCTTGTTTATGATAAAAATGGTACTGTTAACCTTTTCTCTCTTTCGTCTGCCACGTTTTGGCTCCTGGACTTCATTCATTGACACAGGTCTAGTGTTACCAAACTTGTCTGTCCTTGTTAACACAACAACTTCTTCCTCTTTGGGTTCTTTGCTGTTAGATGTTGAAGACTCTTGAGCTTCTTTATCTGCTCTCATTTGCTCAAGACTAGCTTTCAGCTCTGCTGCTAGATCCTAAAAATCAATAAATCTGTCAGTCAATGAATAGTGGCAGCATCATATGACGGTAGAATTACATCCACACATTAAGAAATCAAGTGAAAAGTTTTGGAGAAGGCAAAAAGGGAATGGCAGTGAGTCAGTTGTAATGAAATTTACACAACTTGTATTTAATCATTTTATTTATTTACCTCGTTTCCCATCAATTCAGCTTTAAGTATTTTAGCTCCCATGTTATTTAAATCTGCTTCTGTAATCTTCTTGGTAGGAACATGATGTTGAAGCACTTCTGTCTTTTCATTGTTTACACTTTCAGAACTTTCTTTTACTTCTCTATTTATTTCTGACTTTATTTTATCATCCTCTGAATCCTCTGAATCTGAGCTGGAGTCATCAGAGAATTGATGGTTTTTCATAGCTTGCTCAATTCTGTTAACTTTGGGTTGTTCATTTTCACTTTTCTTTTTCCATCCCCCAGAGGAAGTTGAAAGAGAACTGGATGAAACTGAAGGTGTGTTTGACAATTCATCTGATGGCTTCATGAATTTATATGATGATTTGCTAGAAATAACAGTAAATAAGTTGTGAGAAATCCAATCATATCAGATTCATTTGGGTCTGGTTGTATGAAAGGTAGAAAAAGTTACACACGAGATTTTGTGTAGAATTTAACTACTTGATTAAGATTTGTCCAGTAAATATTCACCCTTCATACCACTCAAAGTGGTCCCTGTTCCATATATTTATTCTATTTACCTGGCATTACTCTCTGGTCTTCTGAAGGGATTTGTAGATCTTCCCTCTAGTACTTTCTTAACCTCTTCTCTTCTTGATACTGATCTCAATTCATCCAAAGTGTTTTTTCTTGAAGACTCATCTCTATAAAATCTCCTTTGATGTTCAGATGTATCAATGTTGCTAATATGTTTTGAATCTTTCTTGTTTTCACTATCACAGTACTTGTCTTTGTTTACTGAATAATGTCTGTCCCTTTCTTCATGTCTTTTCCTTTGTGCATCATCTCTGTGATAAAATGTATCTCTTCTTCTGTCTCTGTCCTTTGTTCTGTGTCTACTATAACTACTACTCCATGAACTTTCTTTATCTCTGTCATAGCTTTTATCTCTGAAAGATGATTGCTTTGAGTATCCTTTTTGAAACCCTCTTCACAAAAAAAGACATAATTGAAAAAGTTGAGATATAGTGCAAGACTTTTCTGAGTAGAGGCTAAATGGTCTAAACATCACAAAAATTCATTTAACTATAATAAAACATTTGACTTAAAAGCATTACAGACATGGTCAGGCACTGTTTCTCCTCACACTGGTAGCACAGGGATCCCATCATGTAATCTCTTTACATACCGTTTCTCTGCCTCATCAATTAAAGCTTCAAGTCGCTCCAAGGACTGAAAAACAAAAGGTACTTAGAATTTAGAATCCATTTTCTTAAAAAGAACATAAAACATGAATTACAGTATTCTTTGCAAAGAAATACAACTGCTGAGAGATCAATAATTATTTTCATTTTTCATAGTGTAAATTACTACTTTTTAATTTGGAAAACATTTGATGGACTTTTCTAGACTTACCCCCCATCGATCGGAAACTACATCCTCTAATGAACGACCCTCTACTTCAGCTTGTTCTTTGGATCTTTGTAAAGCTTTTTTCAGCCATTTAACATCATACATTATAGTCTCAGAATCACTTTTTGCAACTTCAACCTTCTCAGCCGGTAATCCAGTGCCTCCATTTTTCCAGTATGGATTCAGTTCTCTTGAATGTTGCCCTGCCTAAACAATGAGCTGATTTATAATACAACAGTGGGTAATACACTAGAGGTTTCCTATAGTGCAGCTATGATACATAGCAAACTAAGATTGATAAGACAATAACAAACTTTCCTAATTCATATCTAACGTTGATCACTCATTGACTTATTACCAAATCAATGGTTAAAGGTTTTTGCTCTTCTTCCTGGATTTTCTCAATTGATTCATTTTTCTCTTGTTGTTCAGATTTTGAGCTTCCTGCAAAGCATGGAAATAACATCCAGCCTTCTCTCTACAAAACAAAAACACATTAGTCCAATATGTACTTAAATATCCTCTTTTGTGCATTGATAGAAGCTCCTTGTTTCTTGTAAATAATCTTGTAGCATTATCATGCTTTGTTAGCTGATGATAGTTATGTTTGAATAAATTCAAACTGATTTGAGTAAACTAAGCTCAATGCAATCAATAAATACAGACATTATTATTATAATAAGTTCTCAACATGTCTTTATACAGCAAGATGCAATTAGTGTCTGACCTGAGTTACAACTGATTCCTTTTCTTGTGGTTGATCACCTGTATCATCGGTATTCTTCTCAACCCATTCATCAGAATCCTATCAAGATCAATATTCATGATCTACATGTATTCTTGGATCATCAAATAATACATACATCTTGAAATACACATGGAAACAATGTGATGCAATACTCACTGAATTAGAACTTTCTTCTCTCTCTTTTTTTGATTTCTTAAAAGAGGAAAAAACACAATAATAGTTTGAGTTTCTAAAATTTAATGTCTAATTGACTGTATGTATATTAACACCTCACTTTTTTATGCTTTTTGGTCTTCTTATCTTTGCTCTTTTTTTCCTTTTTTCGTTTCTTTTTCTGGTAGATCAAAAATATAGCAATACCAGTATGGATATTTGCTACAATATAAATTTCATATTTACGTGTTGTACACTGGATTTTATCATCAAAATAATATAAAATGTGAGTAGTTTGGTGTGATAAAACATAACTTCATTTAGTGGTATAGCAAGTTAAATGCGGTGAAAATGCAGCCTGTCAAAAGTAGAATAGTTTTGCGTCAGTTACTATAACCGATAGCTGAATTACCTTGCGATGTTCATCGTCATCAGTTATCCTGTTACTAACACTCGGCAACATCCATGTATCTTCTCCAGTAACTTTGCGTTTTTCGCGTCGTTGTTGCTCTCGTTCATATTCTGCTTTTGCCTATAAAATAGAAATGTAAAACAGTTATAACATCATAAAACAGTGCAATGATATCTACAAACAATTTACCTGCTGTAAAACTTGCTCTCGTGCTTTTCGTTTTTCTTCTTTTTTTGCATTTAGTTCAGTTTTTGAGATAAACTTTACAGGTTGGTCCGCCATCTTGAAATTACACTCATAGCAGCCGCTGAATAGTAAAATGCTGGCTCAAAAGTAGACCCAGTCTCCTCGCATACCATTCCACTCGAAAACGCGCTAATGTACAGAAATCTCAGATGGCTAGTGATAAAAGAGCGCGTTTTCCACTACCCAGCCTTTGTTTTACAAAACTTGCTGATCTAAGCAAGAAAGAGAACCAAACTTTGAATATTTTTGGTATCGTGAAGTTTTTCAAAAGTCCCTTCAAGAGTAAGGGTCGAGACTTTTGTCTCACCCTCAGTCTAGTTGATGACTCGTTCCAAAATACCGACAATAGGTTTGTATGCAATATATTTTCTCCCCACGAAGAACAGCTTCCTTTGGTGAGGTCCGTTGGAGACATTATTAAGCTGATTGGAATAAAGGTTTCTTCATTTCGTGGTCAGCTTCAAGGAAAAGGAACAAGTTCAATGTCATGGTTGGTTTATAAAATCATCTTTGTATCAATAATAAGATCGTTATAATTATCTCTTACCAACTGCCAACTCTTGTAAATTATCTGAATAATTGCAGCTATAACAGTCTTGAATCAAATTGGTGAAATTTATAGGCCTCGATATTAAGGCATGTAAAATGACACTGATGAATAAAATATAAGTATTAATAATAATAATAATAATAATAATAATTGTATTGTGTTTTATATTCATAATACCTAAAGTACTATTAAGATCCCATGAGTGGAAAACTGTCTAGTTAACCCAATTTCTTGAAAGACTTTGAAAGGTGAAGGTGTTGTTAGGGTTAAGTTAGGGTTGAGCTGTCTGTGTCTCTCAATTCATACTCAAAGTATGGTTGTATATTGATTGTATTTCCGGCATTTGCCTGTATTCCACAGGGTGACATTTGATGGTTATAGCAGCTCTGACTCCATTCAACATGCAGCATCATCAATACCCAATTATACAACAAATGAGCAAGATAAAGAAATAATTAAAGAACTGAAAGCATGGGCTTGTTCATTTGAGAGCATTCATCCTCAATCTTACAGGAAAACACTTTCTCAATTACATCCAGATGTGGTGTTCTTTAATATTTCTTGTCAAGTTGTTTCCATCTGCCAAGCTGTCAACTGCAATTGTGTAATTTTGACTGTATGGGATGGCTGTACTCTCAATTGTAAATCATACTCTTTAGAGGAACCATTATCAAGCACACTTCAAGTCAGTGAAACTCTCAAGAATGATAGTGAAGGAATGGCAATTGATGTTTTTCTGTATGATGAGCATGCTAATGGAGAAGTCAAAAATGTTAAGCCAGGAGATTTTGTTTTGTTGAGTAATGTACATGCACAACCTGCAAAAGTCATGACAAAGGTGAGTATGTTGTCTCTAACCTTGTTTTCATCAGGAGAATTCAATGCTATTGGCCTGGGAACTAGGTTACATTGGACGGGTACTTGACATTTACAGTATGAATAAAGTAGGAAAGAAAAAGAAGAAAAATGGGAAGAAAATGAAGAAGTGACGCTAAGAAATAGCCAAATCATAGTTCAATGTAGTCACATTTTTTATTTCTTTTATCTTGTTTACACTCCATTCATTGGTTTACTAAACATTGATATTTGTTTAGGAAGGGTATCCTAAAATTTCATTTGTGGTTCACAAAGGAAGGATTAATGGACGTGGAGTGTTAAAACTACCACAGGATTCTCAGTATGTCAAAGAAATTCTGGGCCAAATTGAATCCTTGAAATGTAACAAGTCAGTTTCCAACAACCAAACAACTACAAACACAAGGGCACTTGAAACGTCATGTACAATTACTGACTTCCCGTTGATATCATTTACTACCATTGAAGACATCAAGAAATGTCCAAGTGTTCCAAATAAGTTCAGGTGCAGAGTAAAAGCCATTTCTTTTCTGCCTAAAAATGTGAAAGACTTTGTTCAAATGTACTGTCCAAGTTGTAGAAAAGTCACTATACCAAAAGAGTCGAAGGCAGGCGAGGATTGTCAAAGAAAATTGTCAGAAAGTGACTTTGACAGCATGGATAGCAGATCAGAGTGTTCTCAAGACGAACAAGCACAAGATATGTTTGATAAATCGCAGGATCAAGAAAACTCCTTCCCTACACTGGGCGAGAAATGTTTTTCCTGCGACAGAGAAATGTCATTTGTTTATGTATTTTCACTTCTTATTGAGGACGCGACAGGACTGCTTCATGTTATGCTATTCAACGAAGATGCTAAGCAGTTTCTAACGGACCTTCCATCTCCTGAGTCCTTTTTAATCAACTCAGAAATTCAGAGAAATACTCGCGAAACGTTGACATCTATAACAGATAATGTGAACAACGAACTGGACGCAGAGAGTCAACCCTGTGGGGCGAGGCCGTGGATGGAGTGCTGTGTCTTCTCTTACCATGTACCAGAGCAAGGCGTATTATATCGTATTTTTGGTACAACGGTTGTCTAAAGCACCGTGACACCTACATRAAATGATAGCCTGGGCAATGACTAGACCTGGTTTATCATGGTGGTAAAGCCAGGGCATAATGACTCGTATCATTGTGCAGTGTATGGAAAGCATATGTTTAATTTGTTTTCATATCGTTTTCATTTATTTATCAGAATAAATCTATGTTAAAATGCTGGAAACTAGCGATAAACGAGTATGGGCTGCGTTGGTGTTTCTAAAGAAACAGTTATGCAAAAGGGATAAATTTTAACAACTTCCACTGACGTTTCGGAAGTTTTAACGTTATATAATTCTTCGTTGGAAGGATTAACGCCTTGTTTCACCTACTTTTGACGGTGTTAAACTTTTATCTTTTTGAGCTAAATCTATATGTTAAGTTAAGCCTACATTTACCGGCACCTGTTTTGTCTCACGTGATTTTCTCTTATCCATCCTTTTTATGCAGATATTTTCTACTAGTCATCTACATTGTGAAGTTCTACCGAAGTAAGTTATAAGCATTTCATACAGATTCACGAAATGATCTGTTCCTGTCTACGTTGATTGGTGCGCTTGCAATCGTCCATTTTTTTTAAACAATGACTTTTTCTAGTATATTGACCTGGGATAAAACGGAATATAACTTTCTAGTTATTCTTCAGTCTCAGCTATCAGCTGAAAATGACACTGAGAATTCTATTAACAGCTCAAAGATGATTTAACAGTTGAGCCCATTCAGACTCTGTGAGAGAGCTGCCCCCTATCGCTAAACATTTCAAAATATCTCATTTTTCGAAAAATCAAGAAATATAATTACTCGTCATTTACTTCATTTGGTCTTCATTTATTTTTTTGTTATTATTTCAGGGACTTATCTGTTTATTGTTTCAGTGCCGTATTCCATATACATCGCAATTTCCTGTGATTTTAACACTGATATGTTAGCAAAGTAAGACAAAGACCTTTCGACGAATTCACCTCAGACGCTCTTTTAGCCCTTAAATTGCTTTAAAAGGTATATTTAATATGAGATTTAGAACCAGATATTTGGCTAATCTTTCTTGGATAAATAAAACATACGATACTTAGCCTTTAGGTATGAATTCTTTGCGTGTAGTAGTCTTGTGACCTTGATAGCACATCGTTATTACGAGTGAGAAATTCCTTATATATCATTGCAAGAACACTCAACGAGGGTCAAGCCACAGAGGACTTATCTTTCAGCTGTTTTTCTTGCCAACTAGTAAGGTTGAGGTAATGCGAAAGGAAAATACTATTATTCATCGAGCACACATGGTATCGATTTAGCGAGTATGTGGGTACCTCAATTCCTTAGGCAAGTGTATATACTTTTAACAAAGCCTGAGGCATGTCCTGAAGTCAGCAAGATACTAGACGTAATGAGTCCTGTCTCCTGTCTTTCATCTTTCAACACTTGTATTTTCAAGTTCCAAAAACGCAGTTTTAAGATCGAGTCGTCTGAGATGCATCTTGATGAGCCCGGAGTTCGGTCGACCAACAACGATGAGGCTTTGGGTATTTTTCAGTGTTCTGTTTCTGGGTATAGCAACTAAGCATTCTCTCCAACAGCGACAGAGAAATCCATGGCTTCTTCACAAAAGACTTTTGCCTGATTCCAAGGTATTTTAAAGAATTTATATAAAGATATCTTAATCTAGTCAAAAGTATTTCAGTTCCTCGTCAAATGAACGACAGCGTGTAAAGACACAAGACTTGTGCATACAAAACATGCGTTTCGTTGAAAATTGAATTCAGTATTCAGTATTTCATCAGTAGACCTCCTTGGGTGTGGGGAGCACGTCTTCAAAAGTCCCTAACTATCGGGAGTCCGTGTCATGGTGCACATCATTGTGTTCTTCATAGTCTATGTTGGGAAAAATGGTGGGAAAAGTTCTAGATAACAATTTCAATTTTCTGTAAATTCAATTACGCCGTTGCATTTCATCGAATATGGAAAGTGTAAAGACAATGAAATAATTGTGTGCGTTAAAACAGCTGGTCCCGATCAGCAAACAGGCGATAGGTAACGAACTGCTCACCGTGCAGATCAAAACAAAATTCCAGGATGAATGTGAAGCGCGCATTTAGTTTGCGCATATTAGATAGTGTCTCGGCGTTCAAGAAATTCCAAAATATACGATTCATATTTCACAGGTCATGCTGTTTAGATAACGCTATCTTGCGTTCTCTAGATTAAGCTAATCTTTTAATACTTTTAATTAAGGATTCGTTTGATTAACTAGATCTTAGGCAGTGATAGAATGCAAACTACCCTCCTTAGTGGGGTGCTCCTTTGCATCGGCTCTTGGGATTCCTGTGTTAAGTGAAGGAAAGTCATCAAGTTATGTGTTCGTTTTACATTCATGGCTGTAAATGAAACCATGCTTTGTCAGTAGAATATAAAAAACGCATTGACATTTGTGACTGGAAATTTGTATGAAAAGACCTCATCATGTTATGTCATTTTGGTCGGACAAACCTCACCAATGTGTTGAGGCTACGGGAGTAAAAATTCCGAAGAGACAAACAAATTTTTGAGTGCGAAAAGCAGGTACGGACAGCGCAGACATACTTGGCTTTCTAGGTGCATTTTCTTTATATTTTTTCTTCTTTTTTTTCTGTGTATATTCATCACGTAAAGCACGCTTAGGGTCAAGAACTCATCAAAAAATTATTCATCATTTAGAACTTTGTCGTGTTTGTTTTAGATCCAGTGTAGAATACCATGGGGACAGTGCGTAGCAAGAAGAAACTGCACAGCGCGTTTGGATTGCATGTATCGAAAATACGAGTGTGTTGAACGCGACGATGGCAAGAAGACTTCACAAAACAGCAATTCCAGCAAACTTATGGTAAACCTTTCTATCATGAGTAGTCATTGCCCGGTCATTGTTACATATACCTCTTGCTTTGAATTCTTTTTATGACTCACTTTACCTATGTCCAATATCGCCCCTGTGGGACCATCGATGTGTTTTCTCGTCACAAATAAAACAAAATCAGGTTTGCGTCATGCCAGTCACTGAATAGTGAGTCCTCTACATTAGATAAGAAGATGCTAATATACAACTGATTGAATAAATGTAAAGCTAGGATACATCATCAAAGCCAGGACCGAAAAGGAGTATGGGAAATCAAATAACTAGTACAGTTTTTCGATCCATAGGTTGCTTTTGTACCGGTGTCACTATAACGTTAAAGTGTTATGAAATTTTGAGTACCCAAAATCCCTTTCGGTCTTAGCCATGGCGATAATACCTTTTTGCGATACGGATAACACGGTGTTGTTTTATAGGGCAAGTGTAAAGAGAGGATAAAAACATGCTTGACAAAACGGACATGCAGGAAAAAGCTGACATGTGTGCTGTTTCGTATTTATCAATGTGAGCGATTGCACCGCAGTAAACAGCGATCGTACAAGGTGTGTTCTTCGAACTATAATCGACTGATGGCTTACATGTAAACACAGGCAAAAGAAAAGCTTTTTATTCGATCGGGCATTTATGCCCTAGTCTGCTTATGTCATCTATTCTTCTTTATAATTCTCTCTCTTTCACCAAATTATTATATCTTGGTGGCACACACCTCCTTTCCTTTATGATTAGCCTGTGTCATATCCAGATTATGTGCCTTCCCTTCCATATTCCTCGCTAAACATCACTTGATGATGACTTGCCTTTTATCTTATTTCCGTTAGAGGATATACAAGAAACTTTGGGCCGCGAAGATCAGAAAGAAAATTCTACGAAAACGACAAAGACTTTACAGGAAATACAAGAAGAAAAATAAGCGAAGAAATAAACAAAAGCGTAACCGCAAGCCATGAGTTCTCTCTGTTTATTGCGGCTAGTATGCAATATAAAACCAAGGATCGACTGAGCTGCAAGACATGAAGTTTGCAGCAGCATATTTGTTATATTTTTTAATCGTTTGTTATATCTTTTAAGCACAGTGTCAGTGGTAAGTTCTTGAAATAGTCATGTCGTGGAAATGTATCAAATGTACCGATTTCGTGCTAGCTAGAGGTAATCTGTACGGCTTATCCAGTGCCTCTGAAAGATAAGGAGGTTGTGGATTTTTTTCTAGAAAGATATTGCCATTCACATAATCATGATAAACTATGGCATAATAAAATCATAACGTCACTGACATCATCATTTCAGTTAAAAGTTTGAATCAACCAGGTATTAATATTATAGGCGTTAGAATTATTTTGATAGTGAGTCAGTGGGTTAAAAACTACTGTCATAAACTGTTTTATAAGTATTCCTATGGATCTTATCACGACGATCGATCGAGGCATTTGAATGGTATATAACCTCAAAATTGTATATTGTATGTAGATCCAGTTGATGGTCAAAGTAACGTCAAACGACATGTAAGAAAAATAATAGTAGTCTTGAATAATACTAATAAAGTAATGATAAAGTAGTCTTAAAAATCCTTGCCTTCTTTGCGTTCATACAACATCAAAATTCTTAGTCTATGTCGACATAAGAATCGCTGATACTTCTTAACAAAAACAGATCGAAATGTGCGCGCGCCTCCAAAAAATATCGTAGAATCCTACCCGAAATTAATATAAATATCTAATAATACTTAATGCGCATCACTGACGAATGAAAGCCATGCCCTTCTTTGGTTGCAGTTTTCTTGCATGTCATTCCAATGGCTTATCCAGGATATTACAAATGGGGACAGGGGAGGGAGTGGAAATATTATGGGCTGCGGAGAATAAAATTTCTTCTTTATGTCGTTTTTCCAGATTGAGTCCCATTCAGATTTCTTTTATTTACTCATAGAATAATTTCTATTTCTATTTTTTTGAACCCTTAAGGCGTGAAAAATAAAGGTGGCTAGCCACCCTAATTACCTCCCTTAGATCCGCTCTTACATTCTCTGATCGATCAGTTGAATTTGATTAGATGTCAGCTATTATCATGCCTAAAGGAACATATATCTTACAAAGAGAGAACTGGGACTGCCTTCCATATTTGCATTACTTAGATAACTGACCGATCCCGTTTCATTGTCCCACCTCCCTAGTTACTATCCCAGATGAGTTGATATATCTTTTAATTCTTTATTTGCCAAAAAATAATTTTAACTATTAATTAAAAATTCAATCAAATATAGCACAGGGAAATCGGGTAACGGAAAATTAGTGAATAAATTACTAGAAAACAATTACATTAAATAAATAATTCTGAACACAAGTATCACAAGCTCTCGTTTACTTGAAAGTGAGTGAGTGAGTGACTTAGTGAGTGAAAGATTCCTCTCTCTCCAATAACTCTTCCTCAAGTTAGGGATAAACAATGAATGAAAACGAAAGTTAGGCGACATATTCCCTTTAGGGTTAAATTTTAACATTTTTGGTTAAGAGAGTCTCCGAACTACGTAGATCAATGAAATAGCCTGCTCTAGGGCTTGTTGAGCAAAGCATTCTGGTATTTATCGGAGGAAGACTAAGCACCAAACTTGGAACGCCTGGCAAAAAACACACATATAAAAAATGGCGGGCGGCAATGTTTGCGTTGAATGTGGTCAAACAACTTCGTTAAAGAAGCTCTACAGAAAGTTCGAAGGAGGAGCAATTCGTATTCTATTTTGTGTGAGTATTTTTATGTATTTTTATGTCTGATTGACGACCCAGAACCAGTTTACTGACTGATTATAACTCGTCTGTAGGAAAGCTGCGACAACATCATGGATAAATACCTAGAATTTGATCCTGTACTTATTTGTTTGGACGTTCTTCTACACAAACCCCAAGCTTATAGACATGTACTTATCAACAGAAAACCTAAGGTGCGTTAATTGGATTTTTTTCTTTTCAAAGACAAAGTAGTTTTCCTCTGCGTTTTCTGTTGTGCAATCTCTTTTAAAGAGGGTTAAAAACCAGTTAGCCATGCCCTTTTTTCAAGACTTCTGTGATCTTTTAGGGGTATTTTTGAAAATTTGTGACGAGCATCCCTGGTACTTTTACCTCGGAGTTCCTCCCGGGGGTGCCTCATGTAAAAATTGATTTTAGATAGTAAAACTTGTTTAACTTTATTTTCTGTTGTCTTAGATACAATGGCACCTTTGTGTATTATATCTATTATGTGATGCATGTATCCTTTGACTCTCATAGAGTTTTTAATTTAATTTATGATGTGTAGAGATATGATATCAATGAAAAGCATAGCTGAGCAATCTAGCATTGTTGTGTTTGGCTACTTTGTTTGTTGGTACAGATAAATCTAGATGTGTATAATTTATAGTTGCATGTACAATTGGCAGTGATCCTCATATATATTTTTTCTCATATATGTTTTTGTTTCCCAGCACTTAGCATCTCCCATGGGCGGTCAAAAAACAATTATGTGTCTAATATAGACTTTGAATTGTTTATTTTGTTGTTTATTTTATCTAAGTTATTTTATTGTATTTATTTTATTTATTTGTTGGGATTTTGAAAAATTTGGAAATCCTCCCAAAAAATTAGGATTGCCTACTTCATTTCCCATTGCCCTAATATTAATACTACTACACTAATTTAAAATTCTTAGGGTCAAGGTATAAATGAATTTTATTGTTTAGCCAAAATATTTTTCCCTACATTGATGTATCAAGATGTGAAATGGTCAGATGTCAACAGCGCAGGAAAACCTGTATCCTCAGCAAACACCAAAGATCACTCCGTTTTAGAATTGGAATTTTATTACATTCTTTCAGAGGCATGTTTTGGTAAATATTATAGTTATCTTTCTTCTTTTCTTCTGTATTTTTTTGAGATGATTTATGTAGCCATTTGATTTAGAATTCCTGATGTTTTTCTGTGGTCTGTTTCTTGGAATTAAAGTATTAAATATTATCTACACTTCAAAGCAAAGAAACCAGCAAGACTTTTACAGGTATAAAAATACTCATAAATGATAGACTGATTGATGGGATTTCCGACTGATTGACTGATTGATCGAATAAATGATTGACTAATTAACTATTATTGAATGATGGAATGATAGGACAGTTAATTTATTGATCAATCATTGGATTGAATGATTGGTCAAATGAAAGATTGATTGGTTGATTTATTTGTTGATTGATTGATTGAATGGATGACTGATAAACTAGTAACTGATTGAGGGATAGAATGATAGTCAATTGAATGATCAATCTACAACCTTCCCTCCTATTTTGCAATGTTGTTTGTTGATGAATTGCTACGAAATCATAAAGGATTGGCAAAATCTGTAAAGCCTCACAGTGAGGAAAAGAAGAAGGGTGTTTCATTTATTTTGCAGAAGATTTCAGCTCTAGGGGTAGTATGGAGGCTATAATACCTGATAGATATTTTGAATAGATGTTGGTGCTGTAATATTTTATGCACATTAGTATGATATTAATTATAGAGAACTCTGTTCAGCCATATTGCTATCAAGTTTTGGTAAACTACTAGTTATACCTGTAGTACTGTGGTCCAATTCCTATAGTAAAGTTTGCCTCTGGTTGGTAAAACTCTTTGTATTTACCTCAAATGCTGAAGCAATAAAAGGTATGTTTCTTAGTTTCTTTAGGAAGATGCATTCAATAATTTAATACATTAGCAAGGTGAGGGAAGCACCCAGATTGGCAATTATCTTGGTCTAATAGCTAATGAATTATTTATTTCCTTTTTTGGTTTTATTTTATGTGACATTTTCATTTTAAGTTGGTATTAATGCCTCTTTTTCACTAACACTTCTTTTGACATTTTTATCATCACAAGTAATTTCATGGTGTTCTGAGATAACCAGAGAACATAATTTGTATTCTAATGTGTACAATATAGCAATCTTTTGATACCGTTTTTTTAATGTATATTGTTTATATTTAGTTGTGTTATCTATGGACTTTCTCCAGTCATGTTTTGTCGTAGCGTTTGGTTTGTTGGTCAACGCCTGCTTCAAGCAAGAAAACTTCACTTTATTGTCAAGTTTAATTTATAAATAATATGAATTAGAATTAAAAAAAAGGATATGATGCAATATCATGTAATCCTTGTATTTTTTGTAGGGACAGTAGATTAGCTACGTTGTCACGACATTCGAAAAGAAGGTTTGATAATATAGTACGCAAAAAACACGTATTTTGCGCTGTTTTCATCAATTAGGAATCTCATTTTACGTGATACCTTGGACATATCAGGGGCATACCGTGGGCGCGCAGTACGTGGTTTGAATCATGAAGTACAAAGTGGTGCAAACTGATCAGACTCACATAGAGCAAAACCTCTGTCTCCCAAGTCACAAAAATTATTAAAATGAATTCCATATATAAACCAGTAGCTCATTTTCGATATTCTGGTTAAATAGTCATACACAAAAGAACTGACGATGACCTCCGGAAAAAAGAGTGTTTAGACGTAATTTTGAAGGACTGTGACGTCAACCAGCCCAATCACACATTTTCCTTTAAGTTCAATTAGTAGATTATGAAATCTATTTTTATACAATTCGATTAATTCAATAATATTCAGTAATAATGGGTTTCTTGAATCACCCAAAGTGTCCCATCACTGGTGACGAGACGTGGAACTTGAACGCTCCTCACGTATGAAGTCTATGTGGTTGAATTGATATTAAATATCTATCTTTTCTTCTTTCCTTGCATTGTGAAAACGCTGTGGCAACGTATATCAGCAAAAATCTTTTGGGGAGGTTTTCCGAAAGCACCTTGGGATTGTTCTTCATTTCGCTAATAGCATAATGAATGCATCGGTCGACTGAAACCAGCTAACAACACAATCAACGGACCTTGCAACGGGGGAAATTTATGATAAAAGGAAATTATCTATTTATCAACCGTCGTTACTAAAACATGGAACGAGCCAAAACCACCCAAAACGAGCCAAAACCACCCAAAACCACCCAAAACCAGCCAAAACGACTGCAAAACCATTTCCACGAAATGATTAATCATAAATTCATACACTAAAAAAGTCAAAAAAGTGTTCAACATAACAGGTATTGAGAACATAGTAGTGACATTTCTGCTTCCGTGTCTGATATCGAAGTTTACGATGTATTCTAGTRTGGCGGGCTAAATGTGCATGGAAAAATCGCGAAGTTTGCATCGTATTCATATTATTATTTGACTCTAAACAAAATTATAGTAATTTAAAATCGATATCTTATATAATTACTTAAATTTCAGAATATATACAATGTCCGTACGAATAGAAAACAAACTCGGCTTATGTATGAGTCAATTCCAAAGGTGCCCCCCGAACGAATCCCCGGGCAACTTTTCGAAAAAAAATTGGTCAAATTCCCCACCATATGGGCAAAATTGACAGTCAAATGCCCACACTAGTAAAAGCAAATGAGTGGTCAAATGCCCGCCCCATAAGTCAGTTTTTTTACGCTAGTTTTCGAGTGTTTTTGTTGCTTTTTGTATCGTGATTTCTCATCGTGAAAGTACAAAAGATCGAGAATGTTCCCAAAAATGATTGTAAGCCTCGTGGCTGCTAATAGCGATCCGTGATCATGTGAAGCGCCTTTGAACTGTAAGGATATCGGCGCTATATAAATAATACGTATTATTATTATTAAAATTCTTAGGTTCCCGAGATATTTTTATTTTTAACTTAAGCTTAAAAGTTCGTATTGTGTCACGAAATATCGCTTTCGCATCTGAATCAATAATTTCCAAGATGGTCGCCTACTCGTCAAATGCCCGCCCGTCTGCTCCTAAATCAGAGTCAAATTCCCCACTGTACGGAGGTAAAGTCGTGTCAAATGCCCGGGGTTTGCCCGAGGGGGGGGGGGGGGGGGGGGGGGGGGGGGGGGGGGGGTATGGGCACCTTTGGAATTGACTCATACATTACGGTAGGAAATAGCCATTTGCCGTCTCCGTTGTTTGGCAGTTTTTTTGGCGGTTTTGGTTAGATTTTGTGCTGGTTGTGGGTCGTTTTGGCTGGTTTTGCAGTCGTTTTGGCTCGTTTTGGGTGGTTTTGGCTCATTTTGGGTGGTTTTGGCTCGTTTTGGGTGGTTTTGGCTCGTTCCATGTTTTAGTAACTACGATTTATCAACCTGTAAGCAATCAATTGAAACCTTGCCTCCCAATCCCCGGGATATATCCATGATACCAGAGTAATTAGTCACCGGGCATTTACAGTCAAACGGCCTTGAAAGCGACTTCTTGCCCTTGGATATATGCACACCCGAACTTTTGTTCCAAGATTGGGTAGCCCTGTAGACCCGGGGGGGGTACTCCCCTATATTCGCTATACGGGGACGTGCCGCCAGCTAGGGTATCGTTTTCAGCGATTTTACTCTGGAACTGGGTATCGATTTTAGCGATTTTACTCTGGAACAGGGTATCGATTTCAACGAATTTTCTCTGGAACAGGGTCAGGGTTGAATTCCGGAATTATTGATGCTGGATAAAAATTCATGGGGTAAAAATTCGGTCTACACGCAAGCTAGTGCAGGATTTTACTCTGGAACAGAGTATCGTTTTCAGCGATTTTACTCTGGAACAGGGTATAGTTTTCAGCGATTTCACTCTGGAACAGGGTCAGGGTTTTGAGGTCCCAGCGGCACACCCCCACACAAGTTTCGGGGGAGTACCCCCCCCGGGCCTGTAGAGAGGATGGCTAACGGGCATAAGGATGCTTAACTGCCAGTTCGCAAACTCGATAAATAGGCAAATTGAATAATTATTGAATAATTACATTATTTTGAGCACTGGAAATAGATAACGTTTGTACTTAAGTAAATTACCGAAAGACAAAAGAAAGGTTCAGTCTGATCCGATCTTACGAAAGTTTGATTTATGTTCTATTGGTCTCTATGATAACATTTTTGTATTTTGTATACATACTGTATATTTTTATATTATTATGTCATGTGAACACTCTACTTTGACTATTTTACGTACTGATCTTTCTATTATATAGATATTTCACCTGTACCTCACTAATGGGATGTTTAACTATGATTGATGTCCATAATTGACGTCGGTAATTGTCCCTTGAGGCGAAGAGATTTTTGTAAATACGCCGCTTCTAAACTTTATTTCCGGTGTGAGAAACCAGAGAGAAACGTAAATATCCACAAATAGTGAAGTTCATTGAAGCGTTCGTGAATTTTTTGGTTTAGACTTCCCAGAGTGCAGCCCCCCCACCAAAAACAAAACAAAACAAAACAAAACAAAAACAAAACAAAAAAACACATATGTCATTATATTGAGAAAAAAAATCACTTCAGTCCAGAACAGAAATGTAGGAGACAATAGGTTTTAACTTAAAAAATACGCAGAGAAATAGGTTGAAGCAAGAAATCTCGACCCAGATTCTCACGTTTTTTGTCAGTTACGGCTGATCAAACGAATTGCAGGCTCAAGTGATGAGAGATGATGGCGACTATCTGCAACTCCTACGGGATCGAGTTGTATTTCACATGATAAATAGAGTTAGTTGTCTTACAGTTTTGGCACTTCTTCATCTTCGATGAGACATCTGTCCTGTTGAAAATGTTGAATATGTAATTTCTGGACTACTGTTTTGGATGATTGCTCCAGTTTATCGTTGAAAGATTCTCTTCTGAGCCGACGCATAAACTTTACACTTCATCATTTTTGATCCACTTCAACAGTTGTTTACAAGGTTCAACACGACTCATCAAGGTTGCAAAATGGCGCCAGGAGATATTGATAAGCATAACATTGTTCGTTGGATTATCAGAGTGATTACTTGCAACTTTGGACGCTAAAGAAATCCGTAAGTAAGTTTGTTATGATGTCCGATAATAAAAGCTGTGTGACTGTTTGAAATCCCTAGAATCAAGCCTAACAACAGCTAGGTTTCAACTACATAACCAAAGTTCTGTCAAAATAGAGTAAATACGTTGGTTATTTCTTATATCTGATGTCAGTATGATCGGTGTCATGTTAACTTTGCTCTCATTTGTATGCAGTGCATATATCGTCTTCAATAAGTGCGATAGATAGATAGATTCTTAAACTTATGCCCTAATTCTTAAACTTATGCCCTAAATTTTATCTTGAGATGCCTTCCAAGTGAACTTTGATAAAACAATTTCTTGATATGAGTTCAAAAAAACAAGTTTTAAGCGACACATCCCTTCCATTTAACTGAGTAAATAGAAATAACTTAAGTGAACTTACTTGAATGGGGCTTCAATCGTCTTTAATTTCTTCCCAGCAATCATTTTTTTGATGTGTATTACAGCATTTTGAAATTTTTGAAAAAAGTGCACACATTGTGATTAGCTTTTGTAAGTCCAACCATAGAATTATTGCAATTGATTGATTTTTGCAATCAATAACATGGAATGCAAAGTTGTGGAGGTTGGGTGGGGTGGGGTGGGGGCGTAACTTATGAGGGCTAGTTTAAACCATACTTTGAATATGTGGAGTATCTTTCAAATTGTTTCCAGCAATCTCAGATAGTTACAGTCATAAATGATAAAAAGATACTTTATATTACCCTTTTTAGATAATACGACTTCACTTATCTTGGTCTGACATGATTTACTAAGTGTGAATTAATAACTCAAAATCAGTCATGTTTATTATAAATTGACTTTATAATGACTGTGGTGTACGATTCCAAAGGATTCAGAAGTCTTGGTCTAAAGACTGCTATAGGTAAATGGCAGTTTGGCATTCTGCTTGGAAGTCATTGTTATGTCCAGTCCATTTTTCTGTGACACTTGAAGTCTGTTACAACAACACTGGCACTGCTTGTGCACCAACAAATAAACTACTTAATATTTTGCAATACATAAATATATATACCCCTACTACAATAAAAAACAAACAATAATATTGATAATTTAGAATCTACTCCAACAAATAACTTCTACTACTTAAAATAATGAAATTAAACATGCATTTTCCACTTATCACAGGAACAGACTAACTGTTCAGTAGGTAGCTATAATAGTGCAAAGTCTAAAAACCAGTGAAATAGATATTACACTAAATACATCTTGATAAGCTTTAATTGCATTGTTTTCTGAAATTACTCAGACTATCACACTATAATAGTTAAATTTTGTTTCATGGGTTCATGGACATCACTCTTTCTCAAACCTTTTTACACCCCTGAGACAATAATATACTCCATTGATTGCTCCAGACCATTTACTGTCATTTAATGATGTAGAACGATGATGATGGATGACTATGATGACGGGGATGATTCCAATAAAAATCCATTCCAAGAAAAAGGACCCTCTGTTCATAGAAGGTAACGTAAAGTGATCCAATGTTGACTGTTTAAATTATTTAAGTACTCTTGTTTTAAAGGATATGCCTTAATCCTTTAATCTATCTTAAATCACAGAGCAACAAGAAATGAGAGTGAGAAGAAGCGCAGAGACAAGCTTAATATATACATACAAGAGCTTGCTTCAATGGTGCCATCATGTTTTTCTTCAAAAAAGAAACTTGATAAAACATCTGTACTAAAGATGACAGTGAATTTCATGAGAATGCACAATGGTACAGTGTAACTTTTATTATTGTGGGTTTTGATATTTACTTATTGTTGTTATAATTGTGAAACAGATTTGACTGGGTCAGTATTGGGCAACGAATATGGTCTTCATTTATCATTTCTTACAAGTGATGACATTGGTGACCTGATGGATAAGGTGAACAAATGTTTGTGTATATAAGACTATGTAAGGCTTAAGTAGTATTCATGAGCTGTCAGTCAAACCAGGGTTATTCATTTAGTCACATTACCAGGATGTACCAGAACCTTATTCATCATTCTTGTATTGGTCTTGCAAGAAGGTACATAAAACCTAACCCTTTCAACTGGTTTAGTTCATGTTTGTTTGTTGGAAGTTTAAAGTGCAATTTTATTGGTTGGCTTTTGTAGTATGGATAGAATAATATACTACAATTTAGCTTGTGGTGATAGAATGATTCACCAATGTAGTATTTCCATCAGAAAAATACTAGATTTGTTTATTTTTTCTAACAGTGGTGTTTTTTATTTAGTCCCTGAATAGTTTTCTGTTTGTATTGTCAAGTTCTTGGAAAATTGTCTATGTGTCAAAGAGCATAACTCCAATTCTTGGTTTGGAATGGGTAAGAATTTGATTTATTGATAATTTGATCTAGACTGCGTAGCCAGGTGTTCCTAGCCGCTTCGAGAGAGTTTGGGCAGGAGAAACCCAGAAGGGAACGCCTGCCCGCAATTTTAAACATTTGAAAAACCTGTTTGTCTACAAATGGGCACTTCTCATTGGTCAGATGGGAAAGTAATTGACAGCTGGTATAACGTTTTTGACCAACATGCTTTAGAAGGTCAAGAGTTCATCAATCTAATCCCATCACATTGACAGATACATGTTATGTTATTCATCTAGTTGCTTAATTTATAAAGCAGGTCAAGAAAATCATTGGTATTTTGAAAGAACTATATTGTGTGATTACATAAATAAAGTACTGTTATTATCTTGAAATGAACATTAGTAATTTAAGCTCTCTGGGTACATGTTTTTCAACTGTGTTTTGTGTTGTATTACAAGTAAAGCTTTGTTGTGAAGGAAGTATACGACCAAACTAAACTTAACTCATTTAGGCTGGTGAAGAGACAAATACCCCTAAAAGATATGTTTTAGGCTTCTAGAAAAAATCCCTACGCTGAATTTGAGGACCAATTCTGTGTGTTAACAATTGTAGTGGGAATCCTATCATGATACACGCAGTTAATCATGCATATATCTAATGAGGAGGTGTTTGAACTTGTTAAAGCTGCAGGCAGGTGTTCCCTTCTGGGTTTCTCTGGCCCAAACTCTCAGAGCGGCTAGGAACGCCTGGCTACGCAGGCTAAATTTGATCTAAAGTGTTTGATTGACTGACTGATAACTACACTACAAGAGCAGACAAAATTCGCCATACCCAATTTTTAGTGGTGGATTGCAATTGATTGAGTGAATGATTGATGTGATTGATTGACAGGACCAAATCGAAGGTTCCAACTTTATGAACCTGGTTCATCCAGATGACAAAGACATTGTTATCAATGAGTTGAATTCAGAAGATAAAAGTGTGTACTTGGCCTCAAGTTCTAATGGTAAAACAATTTTTCATAATTCTTTTAACTTAAATCTTCCCTAAATTAAGAAATGTTCCTCAGTAAAATCCTGCTAACGACTATAAATCATGATGAACCAGTGAGGTGATTATTATTCAAGATAAAATATCATTCTTAAGAAAAAGTCAAAGTCATATGCAAATCAGGACAAACTCTAGTTGCTCATATAAAGATGCAGTCACATCAATGATTTTCCATTGTGTTTACCATATGAATTATTAATTTGATAAAATAAAGATTATTGCAGTCCCTTTATCAAAAAAGAAACGCCTGCATTGGGAGCAAGAATGTTTTTTTAAACAACACAATAGCCTATATTTCATTCTGTAGTGCACAGTATCATAAAAAGGTTTCACAGATATTAAAAGATCATTTCATCTTTTCCTACTTTGAGCTTATCATTAGCTTTCATACCTATCTTTTATTTATTATTTTGCCTAATTATGATCTTAATTTACTAAAAAGTTGCCATTTGCTTTCACCATCAATTTTCATTTGTATGTACCAGGTATTCACAAGATACCAAAAAAGCCAAGTCGTCATGTCTTTGATATACGTATGACATGCAGCCCTTCCAATCAAAGAGTAGAGAATGTAGATCTGTATGAAAGAGTTCATGTTCTTGGATATACAGACACCTGGGAAGTGAAAAAGGCAAACAGCGTAGAAGGTATTTCATCACAATATAAAAGGTCTTATTACATAGCTGCTGCTGAACTTACTGGTGTGTCCAGTTGTAGGCTCATGTGTATTATGTGAATTATAAAACTTGCTGAGATAACCTGAGCAGTAAATACCCTGCTATGATTTCATGCTGGTTTATACATTCCATAATACATGCAAACGTGTAGCCTGTATCAAAATATCATTTTCTAATTTATAACTGATTTATAGACCTCTTGCACATGATGCAGCTTCCTCTGGAGGACAGATCAAAAGTTTTTTTGCTCAAAGAACAAAGAGCCATCGTTTTGTCCTCCAGTCGATGCTGCATTCCAATGAACTGCAGGGAGTCTATATTTGATAATTAAGTATTAAAAACACTGGGTCACACCTGCCATGGCCATCTGCTTCCACTCCAATCACCACAGCAAGTGGATCTCCAGAGTTTATGCCCATACCTCTATCCAGACAACCGGCAAAAATCTCTTAGGATGGATGCGTTATAAGACGTTGATAAATATTCAAGCATCTGTGAGAGAGCCATTATAAAGTCAATATAAAAAAATATTGAAAAATCCAATTACTTATACAACTGATATGGGACGATCCTTTTGCCGTTGCAGTCAAATGGTGGAGTATGATATTTGTTATCATATCTTTCCAGTTGATAATCATATCAGGAAAGTTTTTTGCTATTTTTGCTAACAGATGGTTACAGAAATTTTCATTGCGAAGTGTCAAGGTATATTGCCCACGTCGATATGAGGTTTTTCGTGGACGTCGGTTTCTCCGAGTTCCGAAACAAAAGTATTGCTCAATCCTCAAATCCCGCAACATCACAGACGTTATAGTCTCCGCTTGAAAATATGAGTGGATGATTTACGGAAAAAGGTTCAAACAATTTCTGCATCTGCGGCTTTTCAAAATAAAATCTTACAAAACAAAAATGCTCAAGCTCAAGGTGATCAATTAAAGTTTTTATCGATAGACATTTCATTTGTGATGTCGGACAAGTTCGTTTTGATGTTAAATTCACGGATTCAAATTCCATTTTTACCGTCATTACTCGTATTAGGCAATGTGCAGCGATGCCATTTTGTTCAACAAAGCCTGATGGGAGCTGCAGTCCTTCCAACTTTTCACCTTTTATAACCCCTGAAAAATCTTGCTTAAAGCCGTTTATACATTTTCTTTATAGAACGACACATCTAAACCAAAACGTACATGAAAATATGAGAGGACTACAACGCCCATCAGGCTTTGTTGCACAAAATGGCGTCGCTGCACATTGGTCTTACCGCAAAAGTGCAGAGAAACGAATAGCATTCGTATTTAAGTGCTCTGTTTCTCGTGTTTCGTTTACTTTTTTATAGTGCTTCGTGCTGGTCGGAAATTTTCCGTTCAGTCGGAAAGTTTGATTGACATGTAGAAACCCCCAACTCACCTGGACATCAGCGTTAGACCGTTGGTGTTGGCATGTTAATAAAAATTGCTGTAATTACATATTGATATGTTTTTGCGGCTAATTTCCAAAGACAAATTGATTTGAAACGGTTCAGTTCAGTCCGGTACGATTCGCTAGTCTTGGGGCAAGACTGCGGCTACCGCTACTTGTTGAGTCTATATCTGTGCGTAAATTAGTCATCTCGGTAAATATGTCATGGTCTTGTGAATAAGCTGTAACAATGACAAAGATCAGCTACAGTTAATCGTAAATAAGAATTTAAAATCAAAATGCTGCATCGCTAAATTAAGATCGAGTCTCTTCGGTAGCATTTAGTGATATCAAGTTATCATCTGTAGCGGAGACGGCAAGCCAGAAAGGTACAACTCTCCCTCAATCCTTGTACCCAAATGCTGCGGTGTCAGAAGAAATTTAATTTTAATAAACTTCTGGAGCTTTTACGTCAACTTCCTCACTTGCAATGCATTGTGGGATTAGTTTCTAAAAAACAAAAGAAATGGTGGGAACTAGCGGTAAACTAGTGTGAGCTGCKTCGGTGTTTCTAAAGAAACAGTTGTGTAAAAAGATAAATTTAATACCGCAGAAAAGTAGGTGAAACAACGTAATGACGTTTCGGACGTTAATCCTTCGTCGGAGCAATAGGTCACCAAACTATTGCTTGAGAGAAAGAAAATAATGATTGCGATTGCGCACGCTTTGTATTGTCGTCGCGCGCTGTTAGCAAAATGTGGATTACCTCTGTTATGACGTCACGAACCCGTGCCTTGCTGGTTACAAGTAGTCTGTGACAAGGTATGAAACACTGGTCACGTGATGGATCGATGTGTGACCCAGGTAGCTGCACACTTTCGGAAAACGAACATTCGACTGGTAGGCGAACTTTCACCGAAGGTAGGGCGGAAAAAATATGGCGTGTGAATAATTACGTAGCAATCCGTAGCAGTTACTACTTTTGCGTTTTTAACACGAATTGTTTTCTAAACGAGTCCAATATTTTACCGCAAAAAACGAAATTATACTACTTGCAAGAAAGAAAGAATTAGCAGTTGCACTTGATATGCCTATACATGTTCATAAGGTTGCGAACAGGACCAACAAGATGTTGGATTTGTATAGGAAATCGCACGACCTTGAGTACAATTTGGAATTAATAGTCACGAGTAATGTTTTGAAAGTTCTTCGTAATTTACGAGGTATTTCGCAGTGTATGGTGTCCCCGTACCAGCAAAACAAAAACATTGATTTGTGGCTGGACGTAACAAGGTCTACAGCTTTTTTTAGCTCGAAATTTAACGTAATTTCGCTCACTTTTACGCAAGTTATCCGTAAGATGTTGATGTCACCAAAGCCGAACCTTCGTCGACAGCTACAAACGTACTTTCTGTTAAAATGTTATAGTACGTAGGATTCATTGTTTACTAAATACTAAGATTTGCTTCTTCTACGTGAGTTTTTAGTTTCCGAGGGTCAGGGCAAAATGAAATTACAATGTGTTCGCGAGGATACAAAAGAATCAGGGAGAGTTCGTCCACTATTTTTGTTAAAAAGGCAGTTTTTGTTCCTTGAAATCTTTATAGCTTCAAGCCAGCGTCTTTTTGTCATACCTTGTCACGGCCTAGTAAACAACCCGCGAGGCACGGGATCATAACGTAGCACCACAGGTAATCCACAAATCAAGCAAAAAAAAACAGGTAAATAAAGCGCGCACTTGCGGTTTTCTTGTTTTTTTTTTTCGCATTTATTCATCAATATATTTATGAAATAAGATACAATAAAGTACAGAAAAAAATTGCATAAATAAAGCATAAAAGAGATGGGCTGCCTATGGTCGGAGTAAAGAAGAAATCGGCTATGTTTTGTCCCAAACATTTCCCAGAATGCATTCCGTAAATGGCATATGACGTAAAAGCTTCAGAGATTATAGCTACTACATATGTTGGTCTGTTAAGTTGTTTGTTCGATATCTTACTCTTAAAGGGGCTTTCCTCATTTGGGGGAAGGGGGGCAGAATTGAGGGGGGGTTGATGAGATTTTGGGGGGTTTGAAGATGTTTATACTTGTTATGCAGGAGGGGGGTCTTATAATATTAGTCTTATAACACGGGGGCTGTGATTTGATTTATAACATGCTTTGGGTGGTTATATAATGTTATTGTAGACAGTTGTATAAAATTGCCAGACCTCCCCCCACCATAAGCTCATAAATGAAAGCCCCCTGAAATCAAATACTTTTACAATGTTAAACAAGTTTTTTGGATCCGTATAACGACCATAAAGCATAAGGGCATAAGTACTTGACAGTTTGCATTTTTGTTACAAAGAGTCTGAATCTTTCCTACAGTGCAATATTTAAATACCTATTGGGTATACTTGTTGTTTATCTTGATTACTATACTTTTCAGAGGTTTTATTTCCCGAATTTAAAACAAAACTATTCATTACGTTCAGAATAAATTGCGTGGTGCCGCCATGTTCGATCACTTGCCTGAATAAAAAGATTCGAAAATTAACTTGTCACATGACGTTACTAAATGTAATTTTGACTCTTGAATCAAGCCGCCATTTTGTCCCTAAGTAACATGCTCCATAAACTATCGCCTATCTAAACAGGATAAGTACAGTCTGCAGTAACTCAGACAGTAATACATTTGCCCTAAAACCTCTTTTGTCGTACAATTACGCAGATTTATATCGTGTCACTTCATAATAGCAATTATTTTCTACTCACCAAGAGTATCGATCAAGAAATGAGCAGCACAACAAAGAAAACATTTTCAAACTGGCCAACGACGATCTTTGTTGATGTTCCTGATATGCTGTCTAGCATTGCTTTACTACACTATTACCAGATGTGTAAACTTCTAGCTTTGTTTCCGTAAGTTGGTCGTTTAACTGTGTGAGATTTCGTATTCTATAGCGCCGACAATTGTAAAATGTGGCTACTACATTGAACACATACTGAGGTTACTTGTAATGTGCATAGAAATGATAATACAACCGACTTAGTTGGAGATCTGTATTATCTTTTCATGCTAAAAAAGGTTGAAGACACACGATCTAGTGAAATTCGCTACCAGACTCTAACGGTTGGGACAAGAGGCAATCAAAAATCGATCAGAGAATAACCAGGTTGGTGAATGGAAGATGATCATTGTAGGTACGATAACATATATTAAGAGAGGTAAAAGATATAATATCATTCAAACATCACAAATATTCAGTCTAAAGGATTTCCAGCATGCCTGAACATAATCAAAAACACTTGTGATTTTTGAGAATATATCGGTCAAACCTCCTTCCTTTATACAAATGCATGATAAATACATTGCTAGTAGATCATTGTTCGAAACAAAAGCCTTCTTTCTGTGCGTTGTTAGTTTAACCTAGTTGTGAGTTTATATGCTGTATTTTTTTCCTTTTTTGTATTTACAATGGGTCATTCATTTCATAGAATGCCGTGGTACGTTCTTCTACAGCTTGATCATGCAGTTTGGCTGCGCGTTAAATCGGGAACCTATAAAATGTCTCCATTACTAAACTATCAGAGCGACTACAAGCAGACAGTCAATGCTGCAGGCAAAGTTATCGATCTCTTGTTTAAAAAGAACTGTGAACGCGGTCAATAGCTTACCTCCTTAGCAAAAACAGGGCTTAAAAACCAGTGGCACGAGAAAAGCTGCTAATATCACACTCAATTCGATTAATTTCAAAAGTTCCAAAGAAAGAAAAAAACAAAAACGCCAGTTACAATTGTATTAATGACTGTGTAGACTGGCTTGTAAAGGCTGATTTACACGGCACGATTGTCTCGTGCGACTTGTAGTATACGACTTGAATCGCGCAGTGTATATGCCCCTACGACTTGTCTACAACAGTCGCACGCAACCTACGACTTCGTAATTATAAACAAACGTTTACAATCGAGATTTTTGCTCCAACGACGGCATCCAAAGATGTCCTGCAGTCAAACCAAAAATCAGTGAATCTTAAAACTGAAAGCAAATAGCGTAACCATGGCCAAATTTGAAAGGTTTGCTTTTCAGGTAAGTTCAAGATGCTCGGAGCCATTTTGTGTGCTAACGTAGCTCTCCTGTATTGGACAACATCATTTTAAATACACTAGCGTCTTTTGGTAAGAAAGCTCGCTCATCTAATTGTGGTCATTACTACATGTACTACATCGATCTTATTTTCTCTTGAACTATATCTGGAGCTTACCGTTTGAGTGACTGTTTCTTCATTAGAACATTTTCCAAGCGATGTACCTTCCATTTCTTCCGCATATTTGCACTAAACTTAAAAAACATATTTTTTTTGTACGAGATGTGTAAAAAATCAGTTAGAGCAAAAAAAACTTTGATGTAAATTTGTCAGAAGCGTTCAAAATTTCTTTGTTCAAACAGCCAATCTTGTTGTAGTTTGACACATGCCATAACAAAGGCTTATTTAGTGCCTTTGGTTATAATTATTAACCATACCTTGGTGATAAGTAAAACAATGTGCAGATAATTCAACCTTGAAGAACCCGCCTACTTGGACTGACAGTTGTGATTGACAGCAGTGTCAACCCCATACAACAACAGGCAACTGGTACCTCGAATAAGAACACGATAGGTTAACTATGGCGGGAGAATTCAAATTTATATTTTGGTCATTTTTAGTTTTTCTTCACCAAAAGCAGTCCTTGGTTTGCTCAAATGTTGAAATGTTCCACAGTGACTTAGAAGGATAATACCAAATGATGGAGTTACCAAAAGTCAATGAAGTGCGAATATCCACTCGTCTTACAAATTTTACACCCTTTCAGTACTCGATTATGCTTAACCCTATGCCTAACCGTACTTTAATAACCTTGGCTTTTTATAGCATCAATATTATATTCAGAGAAAAGATTATTAGTTGTCCCAAAAAGCGCAACACTTAACCTACAACATCAAAATCCCGCAGTATTTGCAGAATTATAACAAATTGTATGTTTGACTTTGAGTAGACAGAAGAAATATCTTTTCCGTTTTGATAAGAAATAGAGGATATTACGTGGGCGCGAGGAGAAACGGATTTTATCTTCGAGTGTTAATAGATCTCTCACGAGTGAGTGTAGCGAACGAGTGAGAGATTTTGAACACGAGAAGATAAAATTCGTATCTCAAAACAACCATGTAATATTCTGTGTATCATATAATTTCTATATGAAAGCAAATTACTTTTACTAGTGAAATTATCAACTTTACGTAATGGAGAAATGTAGTATTTTATAGATAATTATATGATAAATCCTTGTTTTCATTATTGCTCATATAGGCTGATCTTACACGGCACGATTGTCTCGTGCGATTTGTAGTATACGACTTGAATCGCGCAGTGTATATGCCCCTACGACTTGTCTACAACAGTCGCACGCAACCTACGACTTGTACTAGTAGGATTTTGAACCACTGCTTAAAATCCTACGACTTGTAGTAGGAAAATCGTATACTACAAGTCGCGCGCGACAAATCGTACCGTGTAAATCAGCCTTATGAAATCTATGTATAGGAGAAAGTTTGCGCTTTCATTAGCCTCAATTTACGACCAATAAGTTGTGAAAAGGCAGATATGTAAGCTCATTCAAAAACTGTACCAATCTATCTTAAAAGATGTCGTTTTACCTCGATTTGGACCGTTCTAACTGGCAAATATTCATGTTAATTTGTTATTGGCTTGATAATACGTATTTAACGACCATACCTGGCTATTGTTGGTATGTTTGTGTTGTGCATCTTTTGTTATGCGGTATAAATGTGGCTGGAAGCTAAATTGATTTTCTAGACGCTTTTCGTGATTCTATCGAAAATCTGTCGGTATTAAGCCTAGAGATGTTGTACCCTATTCAAAAATATGAAAATAAATTAAGTTAAGTCGAGGCGCAGAAATATACTTCCATAATATAAAAATACCTCAGAGCTATGTTATACAACTCAGGGTGCCACATTTCTACTCATATCTTCATCAGGTTCTAGCACTTAAGTAATGGCCCAAGTAAGAACTATAGAAGCAAACGGCAAAGGAATGCAATAAGGTGCTAATTATGTATTGTATAATCCATCCATCCCATTGGTTCAAACAAGAAAATCTGCTATAATTTCACAAGTTAGCGCCCTTTCTAATATTTTATTTAATATCTGATTCCAACTTGCAATGGTGAAGTTGCAATGCCGCAGAACAATAGAGAGTTGTACAGTTCTTACTCGCATTGTTACTTAACATCCATAGGGTTTCTTGTTTTAGCGTCTCATAGAGTCCTTTTGATAGGGCTTGATGATATGAAGCGGGGTGGCCCAGTTGACCGGACGGATTTCTTTTGTTTTGTGTTCCCAGGAAGACAAAGGAAGCAAAGGAAATCAGACCGCTTCATAATAACCACGCACTTAGTCTTTACACAGAGTTCAAACAAAAAAGGATCCATTTGTAGAATGACACTTCACAATTCATGTTGAGAGTCACCTATCTGCAGACTTTGCTCTCTGTTTATAGATGTCTAAGCACAGGGGGCCCAGGCTCAACAGTTGTGTTGTTTTCACGGCGGTGTCAAAGTATGAATTACGGGGTTCGCGGTTCGAACCCTCATGAAGCCGTAATTTTTTTCTAYTTCATTTCTTGAGACTTTTCAAGACTTTCTTTTTCTTTTCTTTTTTCTTTAATTATTATAAACAGTTTTATGAATAAAGATTGATTTTTAAAGCCATTTTAATATTTTTCCCCCCTCGTAAATAAATATATAATAAGTCTGGATAACTGGGATTAGTAAACCAAGACTACTATAAATGTATACTGGTCGATAGTATTAGGCAACGTTAATTAGCGACCAACAAATGGACCGTCAGTCATTGATCGCAGATCTTCTATCTGAACTGAAAATGAAGAAGACTTCACGTGATCAAACGTGGTTACCTTCAGCTTTCAGTCATGTAGGCAGTAGTTCACTGAGCCAAAAACTGACGATACAGTTACTGGACGTTTAAAAGTATATTTTCCGTACGTTTGAATCATTCTTCGGACAACTGCGGCATTGAATTAGCGATTACTCTAGTTCCAGGGGCTTGCTTACAATGTTGTCGAGCCAAGCGTCGAGGCGTTTCCGTTTGTCGGTTTGTTTTTACGCTTGGCGTAATTATTAACTGAAACGTCTCGCGTCTTCGCGGCTAGACAACATAGTAAGCAAAAGAATATATGACAAGCCTCTGGAAGCAGAGTAGGAGGCGATGGAAATGTGGACAACGTAGTATCTGTATATATATCAGGCCTCTATAGATCGTTAGCATAATTGAGAGAAAACCGAACAAATTACTCTACTGGACACATCGTGCAAAGTGCACACAGGGCAGGGATGCTGTCTCGGGAAAGCTTGTATGAGGGCCTCATTAACGATTCTCGATATACACTCTAATAAGCACTGATTCATCTTGTGACTCGTGTGGTATCTTTAAAGGCTGAATTAGAGCCAAACCCAAATCAACTTATTTCGTCCAAACTCGTTTGTAAGGGCCAGTTCACACTGCAACTTAAGCAGAAGCTCCATAAACAAAGTGTTTAAGGATTAAGAAGATAGTGTTTTTCTCTGTTTATTCCTTTATCTTTGATTAGCTTATGTTCTGGCTTATGTTACTTGCTATGCTTATATCAATGCACGCTTGACTTTATTCCCTTGTCTTTGATTAGCTTATGCTCTGCCTTATGTTACTTGCTGTGCTTATATCAATGCACGCTTGACTTTATTCCTTTGTCTTTTCTTTTATTCGACATGCTTATGCCGTAGCGTGAATAGGCAGTAAAGGAGAAACCGAGGTGGTTTTGAAGCAATTTAGAATCTCGATTGAGGACAAGGGTCATAAGTTACACAAATTACTACCGAGTTCAAACACTTGTAATCGATCATTGAGAAAGCGACACAAGTTTAATATATCTTTCAAAACAAACAGATTCAAAAACAGTTTTATTATTCATAATTGCTTAAAGGCTTGATACTTGGGAGTGGAGGTCAGGGGTTTGGATTTACTTACACGATACTTGGGACTGGAGGTCAGGGGGGGTTTGGATTTACTTACACTATACTTGGGATTGGAGGTCAGGGGGGGTTTGGATTTACTTACACGATACTTGGGACTGGAGGTCAGGGGGGGGTTGGATTTACTTACACTATTGTGAATAGTAAATTGTTTTCTTTTAGAACAAAATGCGAATGGCAGTGAACTAGTACCAAGAGATAAACCTATCCCTATAAAAGCAAAGCCTCTGTACTTTGTTGCTGTGGGATTCCTGTCTCGACCTGCTGTACAGCGGTTTGTGGATATTGACAAATCGTTGAACATGGAATTTGAATCAAGACACACTATGGATGGAAAGTTCTTGTTTGTTGACCCGAGGTAATTGATTTCATCATATTTCCCTTTATATTTCTTTCCCTCCAATACCATTTTTTTTATAATTCTATTGATGAAAACCGTTTAGAGTTCATGATTACGCCATAGAAGGAAATGCTAGATGGCCTGAGACTAATCAAGTCTCTGCTGGGGTCGAGGTGAAGAACTAGTCAAAGATTATCGGTCGACCTTTTTATAGGACCCTATACTCAATAGTTGTAGTTTTGGTCGTCGGGGTATTGAACGCGCCCGCTAAATACTTCTTCCCTACTAGACTCCATCGTAGGGCTTAACGCGAAAAACTCTCACTTCTCCCTTCACTCGCAGAAATAAGAGCTAAAGAAGTACTTACCACGTGCGCGCACTCCCAGCAAGAAAATTGTAATTCTACCCAGACTAGAGCGGATTTCGTACGTAGCTGTGTCAAGGCATAAATTACGGACAAGACATGACTCGAAACTTCACCCGGTAATTGACTCCAAATGAAAATATTAGACATCACAGCCATGGCACAGTCTTTTTTCGTACGAAATCCACTCTAATGAGATCTTTGCTGTGTGACGTCACTACCAGCTGCTGCGGAGGAAACTCCTACTGTAAAATGATCGTCGTGTTGTTTTTATAGGTCTATAACAATGACTGGATACTTGCCTTATGAACTGCTTGGTACGTCAATCTACAACTACGTCCATCATGATGATATGCACGTGTTTGCCAACTTTCATCAATCGTGTAAGTACCTCATGCTGTTCACAACATTTACATGTTACGACGAGTAAGGGTGACTGGCGACCCATCAGTCTTATAAACGTGGATGTTAGAATATGCAGCAAAGCTTTGTCTGATAGATTAGTGGATATTCTGCCTCTTATCATTCACCAAAATCAATGTGCATATGTTAAGGATCGGAATATAGACGAACCAAAAAGGTTTATTGCGGACATCATGGATTGTACAAAATCGAAGAATCAATCACTGTTACTGTTTGCGGCTGACTTTGAGAAAGCGTTTGATATTTTGCATCACAATTTCATGTGGGCGGCGCTCAAGCACTTCGGATTTAATGACTCTTATTAGTTGGAAACGTGTTTTTTTGTTTTTGGTAGCTGATTTTTTTCACCTTAAGAAAGGAACTAAACAGGGTGATCCTATATCGCCTTCTTTGTTTATTTTGATGATTGAGTGTATGGCAAACATGATAAGACAACACCCCAATATTAAGGTGGTCGACCTCGGTACTCTACTCTTATTTGCAGATGACACAACGTTTTTCTTGAAGGATTTGAGTTCACTAACACATACTTTGGGTGTTTTAAAAACCTTTGAATTTTTCTCCGGCCTAAAGATCAATCAAGAAAAGTCTGAGATAGGATGGTTAGGTGAGAAACAGTTAATCAATAGTTACGATAGAGAATTGCTTAAATTAAAGTGCAAGAATCTGGCATCAAGATACTGGGTATTTATTTTTCACGATAAAAGTTATTTTAATTTTAATAATTTCGAGAGAATCTATGAAAACTTCAAAACAACTCTTAATATCTGCATGGAGCGGTAGACGGTTAACCCCAATCGTGCCAAAATCCAGGTGGTCAAGTCCCTTGGCATTTCGAAGCTTTTGTATGTTTGCTCTAAGTTAATTGTATCTGGTGAGTTCATAAAACAAATTAAAGATTAGATCGTGAATTTCATTTGGAGTGGAAAAAACCTAAGATTAAATACAGCACCTTAATTGGTTCGTATAATGCTGGTCTGAAGCTACTAGATTTTGAATGCATGTTGAAAGCTAACTATTTGAAGTGGGCTGCAAGGATCCTTGATGGTAAAGATAAATTTTGGAAGAGCATACCCCTGACGTTCTTAGCAACAATAGGAGGCCTAAGAGCTATCCAGACTAACTTTGGAAGAGCATACCCCTGACGTTCTTAGCAACAATAGGAGGCCTAAGAGCTATCCAGACTAACTTTGGAAGAACATACCCCTGACGTTCTTAGCAACAATAGGAGGCCTAAGAGCTATCCAGGCTAACTTTGGAAGAGCATACCCCTGACGTTCTTAGCAACAATAGGAGGCCTAAGAGCTATCCAGGCTAACTTTGGAAGAGCATACCCCTGACGTTCTTAGCAACAATAGGAGGCCTAAGAGCTATCCAGGCTAACTTTGATTTCAACAAGCTTCCTCAAAATTTGCCAACATTTTACAAAAATATTTTAAAGGTGTGGCCGGAATTAAGTATTTGTAATAGCTCTGTGTGTATATTGAAACGACCTCTGTGGAATAATATCTATATTGATTGTGATTATCATGTAAATAGCATAAAGCATTTTTTGGATTGTAACATTCGCTTTATAGTAGATTTATGGGATTCTCAGAATGGTTTTTGTGTGGAAAAGTGCTGAGGATAAAGGCCTCTCAAACAGGTTTTGGTTTGATTGGCTAAAGGTGACGAGATCAATACCGGCATCATGGATTAAAATTTTAAAGTCAAATTCCAATATCAATATTTATAGGGAAATTGAGATTTCTGGTAAGGTGGTCATCATAGACAACTTACTTAAGAATAGACGAATATTGTGGGGAAGTTTGCCGTGCCGTCTTCTCAACGTTATTGGCAAACTAAACTGCATGAAGACGACTGTTTTATGAGCAAGGCTATACTCTTTGATAAACTCAGTACAGAATTCTTATGAATTGCTTATATTTGAACAAAGATTTACATAGATTAAATGATTGTTGCACTTTTTGTCATTCCGAGATAGAGAACATAGAGCATTTGTTTGTTAAGTGCATTTTTTCTGCAGGGCTCTATGCTCAAATATCAGACTGGCTAGAAAACTACGACATTGATTAACCTCCGCTTAATTTTACATTATTACTAATAGGACCTTGCAATTGTATTAGTTTTTTATTACAGGACCTTGCAATTGTATTAGTTTTTGTCTGGCCACTAATTTCATTCTACTTATCTACAAAGCGCATATTTACAGAGCACGATCTCTTAGTCATACGATCTTAGAGCCATCTGGTTTTAAAGCGTTCTTGCAATATTATGAAACAATTGAAAACTATATTTTGCAAAGAAAAATAATAACGAGCATTTCTACCTGACTAAATTTAGATATATTAGAAATGTTCTATATTCTTAATGTTATCGTATGAGGAAGTAGCTGGTCCCATTAAAGAGTGCTCAATACACATAAAGTGTAGAGCTAGTTATATATATGATATCAAAGAGGCAAGATTTTGCTGTAACTCCGAGTTTCGTGCTACGCACTCATCAGACAGTATTTAAGATTTTGCTGTAACTCCGAGTTTCGTGCTACGCACTCATTAAATACTGTCGGAGTTACAGCAAAATCTTGCCTCTTTGATATCATGATCTCACTTTTTCAGTTAACGGTGATAAAACGACTAGCAATGCATTGCGGTCTTGTAATACACTTCTAATACACTGTTGACCTTAGCCTGCGTAGTGGCTCTAGGGGAGGGGCTGAGTTCGAATAAAATAAATGGCTTACCTCTCGAGATGTCGCTAGAAACTGCTTTATTCTTTAGATTAATTCGAAAAATGATAGTCTTGCTTTACGCTTTTAGTAGCCTGCGTAGCCAGGCCTTCTTAACCGCTTCGAGGAAGTTGCTCCTTCGGCCCAAAGTCTCTCGAAACGGGAGAATCTACGTAGAACTCAGTTGATGTAATATATTCATAAAGATATAATACAAAACACATAATACAATAGAACGAGAAACAATGGAATACAATACATTTTATGAATACATTACATCAACTGCGTGCTACGTAGGTCACCCCGTTTTGGTTACCGCTCTGCTATTGCTACTCTTTCCATTTAACTCGGCCAAAGGCACACAGGAAGACCAACTAACACTCGTTCGTCGTCTATTTTAGCAATGACAAGCTGGTTTCAAATCCATCCCAAGATCGTCCTGATGACACTTGCTCTACACCCAGTCGGGTTTCTTAGTGGGTATGCTCTACTGGAGAAACGACGCGATAAATGCCGTTTCCAAAGCCTTCTTTCAACAAACATCAAAACACTTGAGGCTACAGACTTCTTGCCGCTTAAAACCAAACTTCGCCAAACTTGTGTTCTTTTGCCAGCAATCATGGAAATTTTTCTGAGCTTCCTGTTCAACGATGTCGTGGTCAGCGGTATTACGACAAGTATCGTATTTAAAAACTCTCCCTTTTCGCCAGCAGATCATTACAAATACTACATGCTATCCTCTTTCGCCGGTCTGTGCCTTGGACGTGCGTACCTGGGTATAGTGGAATTAATCAAACCTGGTTGGGCGGACAAGATTCTTATTCGACGCACGTGGTTACTGGTTGCCTTGGCAATGTGCCACATGATAATCTTGGTGCTGGCTTCCATATATAGAT